AGTGTACTCTAAGTATCATTTTGTACTAGTTTCAGGTGTACAGCACAGTGGTTAGAGAGTTATATCCTTTACAAAGTGCTCCCCTGGATATTTCCAGTTCCCACCTGGCACCATACAGCCATTCAGTATTACTGCCTGTGTTCCCTATGCTCTACTGTATATCCCTGTGACTAGTTTGTAACTCCCAGTCTGTCCCTCTCAGTCCCTTCACCTCTCTCACCTGGCCCCCCACTCCCACCCCTCTGTGCCTACAGGTTTTTCGTTGTGTGAACACACTACAGCCTATTCCTTTTGTGGCTGATGATCATTTGCAGAGTTTCCAGTTGGAGGCCATATGAGAGCTCTTGTTTTAGGAAGGACCTTTGGGTTTACAGATTTCAACCTTTGTCTGATCACATCCACTGTGAACATCATGGACCAACTCCTGGGACGAGAACTTACCCTCTTCCACCTCCCAGTTCCCATCGTCAGAAGCACAGCGTGCTCTCTGTATTCCACTCTCTCGGGGTACATCATCCATGAGTAGCATTTCCCACTGCTTATTTGTTCCTGAACTCTGTATACTTTAATACTAGGCATTTAAACCTTCTTATGGTCACACTGATAATTTTACTGTCTTAACCAGCAGTAGCACTTGCTTGTACATAAACCTGATTTATGTTCTCCTTTCCTCTCTGCTAAAGCCAGATAGGAGGTACATAAAGAAGTTTAGGAAATTTCCAGTTTAAGGGCCAACAAACATCTATGTATATAAAAGGCTAATATGCCAGGTGTCCCTCTGCCCATCCGACCGGTCTCTACGACACACACTGACCACCAGGGGATAGGAGCTGCCGAGCTGCAGTGACTTGGCAGCAGTGGTTCTCGAGTGATGCACCCTGAAACCAGAGAGGGGGGAGCCCGATTCCTAGTGGGGCCGTGCGAGTCTGCCTTCAGCCGTGGGTTATGTTGTTGCTGGGGCACTGTCGGCCCGAATCTGGTTACTGCACACTTGTGTTTGTGTTCCACACCCTGTACGGCAGCAACTTTGCAGAGTGCCCTCTCGCACTTCGGGACCCCTTGGGGATGTCAGAGAGCCGGTTTTGGCCAGATCCCTGCAGGCCATGCCAAGGGACCCCACCTGCCGGAGGGACCCCGCTCTCTCTGTGCTCACTCTGTAGGCGCCCTTCAAGCCACGGTGCCACCCCAGGTGCGCCGGCTGGGGAGGGTCCGTGGGAGGTTGGCTCCAGGGCATGTGTGCCTGTCTGGCCCAGTCCTGCCCCTCCAACCATCTTCTATTATTTCCTTTCAATGTGCACGAAGCCGCGCACCAAGTCACTAGTGGTTATATAATTAGGTAAACAAGCCCTTCTTGGCAGAGGGAGCAGAGGGAGACGAGACTCTGTCTGGTGGGCACTGCCGCCGTGTGACAGCGCGGGCTCCTTTTTCCAGCTGGTGTGCAGAGTCTGGACGTAGCCATGAAAGGGTGGTCGAGTGGAATCCTTTGTATTGCACAAATATGTAAGCGGTTCAAACACAAACGAGTGGGCATTTCAGAGGCGGTGGTTCCCGTTCTGCTAGCTGTGTGCGAAGTGAGGATTTGGGTGGCAGTGAGCAGTGCAGACCAGGTGAGCTCTGCTGTCTGCACAGGTCTCCCACCGGCAGGATGACTGGCACCCGGCCCACCTAGAGAGCATGGTCTGCCATTACGACCACTGAGAGCTGATCTTTGACATTGCATTCCAGGAGAAAGGGAAGTGGCTTGGGTTCAGAATTCTGATGACGCGAATTGCCTTCATTGCCCGGGCCACGGCCTCCACAGCGCAGACGTGCTCCCACAGAGCAGTAATCAATCCTTTCATCCCCAGAATCTGCTTTCAGATGAAAGGCTGTACCAGAGCGAAGCCCTTTATGCCTTCTTGAGCCCTTCTCCTGACTACCTCAAGGCTGTTGATGTGCAGGGGAAAAAGTCCACCTTTTCATTATCCTCCTTTTTGGAAAGACTTCCCCGCGACTTCTTCTCCCATCAGGAGGTGAGTGGTGCCATTTGTTAGCATGTCTAAGCAGATGTCTTATTGAAGGCAGTTCGAAGTAGCAGATAGTGGTGGAAAGCATGCTACTAACAGGGAAAGGCAGAGGCATCCACTTCCAGTTATTACCACTGTCACATTTTGGACACCTGCTTGTGCTCCCCAACAAGCCACTGGGAAGCCTAGAGATACAGAAATGAAAGGATTAGTAACATGTAGGTACTTGGAATGACTTAAGCTGGAGGGGAGGTGGAAGATCCTCAGATCCCATTGGTATCCAAATGCCGGGGAAAGGCATCTTGGGAATAAGGAATTTGGCAGCCCAATTCCATATGCAGAACTGAAGCCTGAGTAAACTTGGGCTGTACCACCTCCCGCTGGTCGGATGTCACATACGCCTGGACCACGGGCAGAGAACGTTCGCTTGTAGTTCGAGTGTCTGGACCTCCAGCCCTACCGAGGGAGTCCAGGCTGAGGAGTTTAGACTTGATTTTCAGGGAATGGAAAGCCCTGGACTACTTTGAAGCAGTGGTTTGTATGGGTGGATAGAGGGAGACTGCAGACATTTGCCATCTTCTGTTCTGGGCCTCCGCTTCCCTCACATTTAGGCCACGGAAGCCCTGGGTTGGCTCTCCAACAAACTGCACAAGTCGGTCTCTGAAATGACAGCCCTGTGCGTCATGTCTGGCTGTACCTGGCTGGCTTACCTCTAATTTATTTCCAGCCCCTTCACAGCGCCTCACCTACTTGTAGCAACAGCTACGTGACTACTTGCCAGTCTCCCAGAGCTCTGGGCCACCAAAGTCTGGATCCACATAGCGCTCATTGGCACTACCCTGGTGCCTGCAACTTGCTGATGTGCAGATCAGGAAATGAGACTAGCTGAAGGACAGAATAAAAGCTTGAATCAGAGTTTTAAAAATAACTAGATTACTTTAAAATATGCAGTTTGAAGAACAGCGAATTTAGAACCATTTAAGTTAAAAAGCCTTACTTTTAAAACTCAAACTGCTTAGAAAACTATTTTGCTGTCTACTGATTCACTCCTTATCAGTCTGGTGACAGGTTTTTCACAGTTATTTTAAAGCTTTAAGATCAGGCTCTCCCTTGGGGTTAGATACATTTTCCCCTCTTTATTGAAAATGCATAGATGTCTGCATGCAGGATGTTTGAAGGATTGTGTGAGGTGGAGATGTTAACACACAGTTTGGAATTACACTTGAAAAGGACAACAACTCTACCACTTTCTTGGATAGTGACCTGCTTCCTATGACTTTTCTGCACCCCCAGGAGGAGACAGAGGAGGACAGTGACCTGTCAGATTATGGTGACGACGTGGATGGGAGGAAAGACTCCTTGGCCGAACCGTGTTTCATGTTGATTGGGGAGATTTTTGAACTTCGAGGAAGTAAGCCTTTTTGTTATTATTTAGTGTTATTGTCTAATTAAGTGGTTATACATGTACACATTTAATATCCCTTTATTCCTGAATCAAACTTGTATTTATATTCATTCATTCATTCATTCATTCATTCATTCATTCATTCATTCAGCAAATACTCCTAAGGGCCAACCAGGTACTGTGGCTGGACCTGAGGATGCGACTGTAAGACAGATGGCTAGTGTACTCTTGGCACACAGGGCCCTGGCTTACCCTGCACCCTGTCCCTCTGCGTACAGAAAGAGAATGCCTTGAATTTCTTTTCACATGACTTAGCATAGTCTCATTGCTTTATCACCAGAAGGTAAGCAGAAATAGTTTTTCGTAGCAGAGGAACAGCCCTGTTGTTAAAGGTGAGGTTTGGGTGTTGCTGAGATAGTGTTATGGCCTGGGACACAGGACAGCCTCCGTCCTGCTTCAACCTCAGCCACCTTTCTTTCGTGGAGGAGTGGCTATCAGTGGAGGGCTGGGGGGATTTTGTCCCCAGGGGACACTTGGCAATGTCTGGAAACCTTTTTGGTTGTCACAACTTGGGGGTGGTGCTACAGGCAGCCAGGGGTGCTGCTAAACTTCCTGCGATGCCCAGGTGAGCCCCTCCCAACAGACTTATCCTGCCCCAAATGACAGGTATGCTCAGACTGAGAATGCCTACCTTGGTAGTTTTTAGGGGAATGTACTTAGAAGAAACAATAGCAAAATAGGATCAAAATACTATTTTGTTAAGGCCCACCCAAGGGCCTTTCTCCTAAAGCAGTAGTTGGGTGAAAAGTCAAACTGTACTACTTGGTTTAGTCTTGAGTCCTAAACAGGACTCTCTGGCTCCTCCCCGCCACACACACACACACACACACACACACACCCCTTCCACTGCCCCCAACACTCTATCATGAGACGAGTGCACTCAGTTATACTGGGGGGCTCAGTACTAGCTGGCGATGTGATGGTGCCTAAAGGCCCACCCAGAAGAGGAAGCACGCGAGAGAGCAAGGGTTTGTTTGCAAGGCATAGTAATGCCACCAGCCAGTCAAATGGTGCCCTTGACTGTGCTGGGCTCTCTCCACCCAGATTAGCACCTTTTCCCTTGGGGCAAAGACGGTGGGCTGGGAGTGGGTCTAATATAGGAAGTGTGTCCCTTCTGAATTATATATCCCCTTAATGTCACCTAAAGAATTATTAGCAGATGAAAAAACTGCAAGTGGTCTTAGAAACTTAGGTGTGTCTGTGTGACTTTTATTCCTCTGACTACTACAATGTCTCAACCATAGTAGGTGGTCAGTGAAATGCCTGGATGGATGCACTGATGATGAATAGGCGAGCACATTTTAAGTGCCGAAATTAATTATTTTGGTCATTGAACTTTTTCTTCCCCTAAGCCCAAACTTAAACAATCAGCAAATACTTGGGAACATATTTTAGATACAGCTCTGTAGGGGACACAAAACTATATCAGATGTAGATTCTTCCTTCAGTGCATTTACAAGATAAGGTTTCCAGAAATGTAACTCACATTAAGCAACAGACATAATTAAATTCAAAACTGCAGACATAGGTTTATATATAAGGATGTTCATTTTTAGCAAAATTTCAATATTGAAAAGTTGGAACTAAGCTAAATATCAGAAGTGGAGGGTAAATTTGGGTGATATCACCCAAATATTAAAGAGCCTTTCAGATGAAAAAGCTACAGCTGTTCCATATTTCAGACATTTAAGATATTTACTGCCATTTTTTTGGTTTAGGGTGGTCAGAAATACTAGCCCTCCCCCCAAAGTCTCCCTCTTCCTCATGAAGCCGGCTCATGAAGTGGTGAGGCCTGTTCCCGGCATCTTCGCCTTCCCATGCAGAGATCAGCTGTGGTGGATCTGCCAGAGCCAGTCAGGGCAGGAGCCGGGCCTCCATCATGTGCCTGCTCAGATGCATATTTGGTTTTGCGGCGACATTTCCGAGGGGGGGAAATAGAACATTTACAATGAGATGTGGTATTTTTGCCGTCAGCAAAATCCTAGTGTTGCTGCAGCTGCCTCTGTGGCTTTGAGCAAAGGAGCTCTAGGAAGGAGTCATTGGGCTGTTCTGTACATAGGTGGGGGGGGGGGGGGGGAAGACAGGAAAAAGTGGTAGAGTAAGCAGGGATCAGTGATGGGAGGGACTCTGGAGCAAGGCCATTTTTGGTTCCTGCTCTGGTTGAGTATGCAAAAAGGAACCAGTAATAATACAGCCTTTTACACACATATAAGCAGTCGGCTGACAGGCCTTTTTTCTTGAGATGCACATGTCCTCAGACCCTGGTAGGTGCCACCTCTCTCCTGCCCTAGAGAGGCCGGGTGAGTTACCGTCCCTGACAGGCAGGCTCCCCAGCCTAAATGGCAGCCTCAGGCTATGGGGTCTACCAGCTGGCAGTGTGCCCTGTGTGCCATCGGAAATTTAAGGTGCTTTTAAAGGCATGGTCTCGACTCCAGGACTTGAATCTTACTTGAAGGATTAACAACACTACTTTAACTGGTCATTTAGCCATTTAAAATGTTAGAAATGACCGGAGACTGTTCTGACGTCTAGTACCAGGTCTACGTGTGTTTGTGGCTTCCCTGCACAGAGGGCTTGTGCATTTACTCCGTTAGGTTTTCTAACCGGCACAGGAGCCCTGAACTCTCGGCTCCATTAAAGTCAAGTCTGAGTGTCTCCTTTGCTCGAGTGTCTGTAGCTAAATGTTTCAATGAATGAAGGTGAATACATAAATGGCAAATTGGTTTAGTCTCCAACTTGCAGACCTAAAATGTCCTCACAGCATTACTTTGTCTTCTTTTTGTTTATATTTAATTCTGTACCTATAGAAATCATAAAAGTTTAGATTTGTAGGACCCTTCACAACACTCTTTCACACAAAATACTGGTAAGACCCTCAACGCCAAAACACGCCCATGTTACTACTGCCCTTTCCCAGATGAGGAAACTGAGGCTCAGAGGAGACGGCTTTGCCCAGCTCTCCAGGCAGCAGGAGAGGACCGAACTCATGGCTCAGGATCCTGCTCTTCCCCCAAAGGCGTAAAATATACAAAAGTGCATGGTGCTCTACAAACTACTGCTCAAATGGGAGCAGTTAGACCCCTCCGTTCATGAATATTTCACATATTTGTGGACATCTGACTACACGTTTCTCATTCAGAGAAGTGTTAGAAAATTGGGCAACAAGCCAGACGGAAATCTGTCTGCTGGTGGAAAACAGACCGTTGTCAGGAGCCCAGGGACATAAGTGTGATTTCCACTTGTTAGCTCAGCTGTTGTGTGGGTATTGAAAAGCTGTAAAAACTCCTAGGTTTTATCTTATTGGTTGCTAAGCAGAAAATGCAAGCTTAGTAAGATTTTCCTGGGCAGAAGTTTGCTAACCTAGACCCGCATCCTGCAGATACCATGGCCCTGGCTTGCGTCAGGCCTGCGATTGAGCTCCATGATGAAGTGTGTGCTTGTGCAGCTATGAAAATGTCGTTCATCGTTGTGCTCTCCTGTGATAATACTTTTCCTCTGACTTACATTTTAGTGTTTAAATGGGTGAGAAGAACATTAATTGCTCTCGTTCAGGTCACTTTTGGAAGAACCATCAACAAGTGAGTTGCACAAAATTAATATTTGAATTCATGCCTACTCTTTGCCTTAATCGTCAAATTAGCTGTGGTATAGCAGCCAGTCATCTTTCTCACTGAAGGTATCTTATTTTCTCTCCTTGTTTCTGATACGATTCTGAGATTGGCTAGGAAGGCAGATTGCTGAAGACGCTCTCCCAGAGTGCATGGTGAGCCCGCTGACGAATGGTTGGGCTAGCTCCGCATTCTGGTCCACGAGGTCAGGAGAGTCTGTAAAGTTCTCTTCTGAGCGTGATGACCAGTTTGAGTGTCTTGGGTACAGTGTTTCTGTGTTACCTGATGGGAGGCAGGTTAAGGTTTAGACTCTAAACCAAAATAAAAGTAGGCTGAGCCTCACACGTGGCCGCTATGTACTTGGAAGGAAATGCAAACCATTTTTTTGGAGTCAGGTAACATTAAAAGGGTAATTCCTCTTGTTACTATCTGAGCATCCATCAGGGGTGTGTGTGTGCATTATATAACACTATTATAAGCCATGTGAATATTTTAATATTCCATTATCTATATACATAAAAGTTTAACTCCATATCTAGTATTCTCCAGGAGACAAACATTATGGCTTTGTTGCACAATAAAAATGTGAGTCGACTGCTAAAAATAAGGGGAAAAATCACATTTTTGTACAGCAACTATATTTTAAGATGAAAATCAGATTTTTCAAATTGAAAGACTAGTTTTGTTGTCAAACATGTACAAGGTTAATGTGATAGTTTTATCATATAAATCTTACACGTTTATGGAAAATAAAAAACGTGTTATCTTTTTATTCATTTGCACATATATTTTCCTTGGTCTTAAACAAAATTTTTCTTCTGTTTATTGCTAAGATTTTTTTAAAAACTGGTGTTGGTGATTTTTTAGCTCCTATCATAGGCTTTTGTTTTAATCAGAAAACATGGCCTCTTTAAGTTTCAGTCTGAGTCAAAATTTGATTTTAGTATTGATAGGCGTTGGATAATGACATTTCCAAAATGGCCCTATTGTCCTCAGTACTCAGACCTGCCAATGTGTTTTTATTTTCAGTTTCAGCAAGTTATTCATGCTTTTCTTTCTCTTCTGTAGACAGTGGCTCTGAAATGTCAGTGAGCACAGTGGGCTGGTGGAGAGGCACCTGTAGGCTGTCCAGGCTCTTCCTCTCAATGGCCTTTTATCAGGTGGAGGAATATGGAGGCCCTGCCCGCTTGTCCTTTGCTTTTTTGCCTTTAGCTGATGATGTCTCATAGAAATCAGCAGCAGTACCTGCCATGTACAACTCTAATTCCACATACCAGGATTGCTTCAAAAGCTTCCTGTGGTTTTGGCTGATAGAAAGTCAGACCTAAACTGATAGAAAAGACTTAGGTGATGGCCTTTGGTGAGAGTCACTTACCCAGTTTTAAGTTGCAAATTGAAATGTTCTTATTCATTTCTTCATGCAGCACCAAAGGCAGGTGACAGGAAACAAGGCGTCTGCCTTGTTATGTAGATTCTTCCTAGGCTGATGGGGGCGGCAGGCTCTCTTAAATCACAAGCCCATTAAGTTAATAGAGTTACTTTATTTGGTCTAGATATGCATTGCATTTAAGTTCTAAGCAATGAGAGGTGCAAAAAATGAACACTGTGATCCCAGTGGAGGGGAGACTTCAGTAGTGACTGGTTATTGTGTGCAGTCTCAAAACCTTACATTGTCCCTTTAAAAATTGGGTTGGTAAGTCTGATTTTTAAATTTATTACTCATGAATTGAGTTTGAAATTTCAGGTCTTTCTGGCACTAACTTCTAAAATGATTCTTTCCCCCTTTTTCAACAAAGAGACTTCCTATTCCCAATGAACAACCACTCTCGGGCTCTCTCAACTACGGTTACTTGTCTCCTGATAGCAGCCCTGTAATTGGTTAGACGTTGACTGATAACTGATGAAACAGGGTTGTGTGGGAGACCTGGTTGCAGATAAAGGCCTTTTATTTATTGCCGTGCCCAATTTTCACTCCCACGGGAACTGGAAATGGCTGAAGAGAGTGTATCTCTAGGGTCCTCCACCTTGTGGTGAGAGGGGTGCCCGGTTTTCTCCTGCCTCGTGAGCACGTGCCATGAGTCCCTGGGTCAGGACTCTGCCCGGGTGACCTGCCAAAGACCTCAGGACTCGGGATGTTTCAGGCACTTTTAACCGCCTTTCAGCGACTTACGTTTCCAGCCGATAGCACCTCATGGAGAAATCGGTATATTGAGTTCTGAGCACAGTGAGGACAGTTGCAAGCTTCAGACAGATAAGTCTCTCAGTGAAAGATACCACAGAAGTCAGCACCAAAGAAAATGCAAGCTCCAGGAATAAGTGGACATTCAGGATTACCCACATAGAAACCAACTCAGAGCCAGAGCTTAAAAAGCCATTCCTAGCTTATTCATCAAACATTTAGACCAGGCTGTGTCTTAACCTACTCATTGATAATTGATAAATGCCTTTTGAGAACAGAGTATAAAAATTGTTTAAAATCTCATCCAAGAAATATATTTCTCTTAAAAGACAAATTCGGGACACAGTGAACTGGATTTTCAGCGAGCAGATGCTGGTGTACTACATCACTGTTTTCCGGGATGCTTTTTGGCCAAATGGGAAACTGGCACCACCGACCAAAATCAGAAGCAAAGAACAAAGCCAGGAAACAAAGCAGAGAGCCCAGCAGAAGCTGCTAGAAAACATTCCAGGTGAGGCCGCTTCTCACCTGTGGGCACAAAGAGAGAGGGAGCGTTAGCCTAATTGAGGGTTCACTCAGCTCTGTCGGGAAACACTATTTGCAGTGAAAAATGATCACACTTTTTAAATCATGTCTTGCCCCTTGCTAAGACATTATACTGAGAATCTTAATAAGAACAGTACTGGTTATATAGATAGTTAAACTAGAAGAATGTTTTGGAACGGATAATAAATACGTTGCTTTAAAAATTCTACTAAAGTACACTGTTTTTGAATGCTTAAGTTTTAATTTGGTAACAGTCTACACTAATAAAAGGAAAGATGCAAATTGACCATACCTTCATGCCCACCAGCCAATCAGGAGTGAGTATGCAAATTAAACCAACAAAGATGGCGGGTTAATTTGCATTCCTCACCACCCCAGCCTCCGGGCCTTTGGGCAGTGTGGGAAGGTGGAAAGGCAGCTCCAGCCAGAGCGAAGGCGGTGCCGGCAGCCAGGGGAAGGAAGGCCCATTCTTGCATGAATCTTAGTGCATCGGGCCTCTAGTCTATATAATAAAAGCCTAAGCAACCATTACAGTGGAATGACCAGAACAACTGGTCGCTATGATGCACACTGACCACCAGGGGGCAGATGCTCAACTCAGGAGCTGTCCCGATGGTCAGTACGCTCCCCCGAGCTCTGCTCAGCCAGAAGCCTGGCTCACAGCTGGCAAGAATAGCAGCGGTGGCGAGAGCCCTCCTGGCTCCACAGTAGTGCTAAGAAGCAGCGAGCCTAGCAGTAAGGAGCAGCGAACAGGTGGTTGGTGAGGAGCAAGGGGTCCCAGACTACGAGAAGACACAGGCCGGGCTGAGGAGACCTAATTTCGTGCATCGGGCCTCTCATCATTTGTATAAATGTCTTATGTTGAAAAATTCTAAATCTTATTTTCTCTTTAAAGATTTGAAAAAACTGATCATCATGTTCCTCAGGCCACAGCGCATTTATTTATTTATTTTTAATCCTCATCCAAGGACATGTTTATTGATTTTTAGGCAGAGAGAGAGAGAGAGAGAGAGAGAGAGAGAGAGAGAGAGAGAGAGAAACATCAATGTGAGAGAGAAACATTGATTGGTTGCCTCCTGCATGTACCCCAACCAAGGCCATGAAACAAACCTGCAACCCAGGTACATGTCCTTGGCCCGGAATCAAACCCACATTCTTCTGTACATGGGCCAATGCTCTACCACTGAGCCACACCGGCCAGGGCAAAAGTATAGTGTTTTGAACACTTAGTTTTTATTTTATTTTATTTTTTAATATATTTTATTGATTTTTTACAGAGAGGAAGGGAGAGAGATAGAGAGTTAGAAACATCGATGAGAGAGAAACATCGATCAGCTGCCTCCTGCACATCTCCTACTGGGGATGTGCCCGAAACCCAGGTACATGCCCTTGACCGGAATCGAACCTGGGACCTTTCAGTCCACAGGCCGACGCTCTATCCACTGAGCCAAGCCGGTTTCGGCAGGAACACTTAGTTTTTAATTGGGTAGCACTGTATTAAAATTATAGTGTGTATAAATGCCTTATGTTGAAAAATTCTAAATAATCTTTTCTCTTTAAACATTGAAAAGAACTGATCATTCATGTTCCTCAGGCCATAGGCTTTTTTCTCTTCTCTTTTTTCTTTTCCCTCCCTCCCTACCTCCTTCCCTTCTCTTATTATTTATAATAAGGGATATATTTATTGATTTTAGAGAGGGGAAAAAAGAGAGGGAGAGGGGGACAGGAGAGGAAGAGGGGGGTATAGAGGGAGACATCAATCGGTTGCCTCTCATACATGCCCCAACCAGGAATTGAACCTGCAATCTAGGTACGTGCTCTGACTGGGAATGGTACTGGCGACCTTTTGGTGTACAGCAAGCATGTCAAACTCAAAGGTTAACATGGGCCAAATAAACGAGGCGTGCAGCCCGCGGGCCGCAAGTTTGACATACTTGGTGTCCAGGATGACACTCCAACCAGCTGTGCCATACTGGCCAAGGCAGTGCCTTCATTTGTTGTGTACATATCATGTAATATCTCCTTCACTGAATAGCTACGCATTGTGCACTTGATCAATAACAGTGTAGCATCTAAACTTAATTTTTCAGATATGCTTCAGAACCTTGTTGGACAGCAAAATGCCCGTCATGGTATAATAAAAATATTCAATGCGCTGCAAGAAACAAGAGCCAATAAGCATCTGTTATATGTGAGTACTGTAAAGCCCACCAGAGGGCTGTTTCTTTAATTTTACACTCTATTCACACATAAAATCTCTGTATTCTTCATCATTCATATTACTTGTAGCTCTGCCCCATTTTCTCCGCTTCACTTCGTGTGTCTGCCTATAAAATGTGGTGGCACAAAGACAGGAAAACATCCCCCTGGTGGGTGCACTGTTCTCATCCTCACACTGTCTGCCTTCGTGACCTGTGACACCTGTGACGTGCTGCTTGGTTTTCTTATGTCAACAAGCAAACTGTTTGCCAGGCCTCCGTCGATCACAGGTGGCACCGTAAACACTGCTGATGGGGTGGTGTTGATTAACAGACCACGCAATAACTGGATTCCATCTCCTTGAGTAACTTGTTCACTGAGAATAATCCCAGGCCTAAAACTAGACTTTTTTCCAGCTGTAAATAGATATTTGAGTAAACACTTAGAGAGAAAACACCATTTCCTCCTCTTTTCTCCTCCTTTCTTGGTTCAGGTGCTGATGGAATTGCTGCTGATTGAACTGTGTCCTGAGCTGAGAGCTCATGGGGACCCACTGAGAGCTGGCCAGGTTTGAGTCTGCACGAATAAACCACCAGGAAATGTCTGTAATAATAGACATGAACCATTTCCTCTTTTCCACAGAGGGCTTCACTGAGAACAACACTGATTTCTATTTTAGTGACCTCCCTCCAGTTTCACGTGAACTAAGCAGACTGAGGCTGTAGCAACAGAAAAACCACTTCTGTTAATTATTGGGATTATTTTAATAAGAATATAAATACTTTAAAGTTGAAATATAACTGTTAATGTGATAAGAACCTAGGAAATATAAATATTTATGAAAAGTTGTTTTAAAATGAAGAACTGTGAATATTGTACAGCTAATTTCCTCACTGAGGATTTTGAACATTCCTATATTCATGTGTATTGAAGAACATTGTTGTACTATCCTTTATGTAAAGTTCTTGTGAAAATTTGTCTTTATTTTTACCAAAGATTTCCCATAGTTTGAAGCATTTGAAGCAATAAAATATAAAAACAAAGCATAGAGCTCTGTGATGTTTAAGACACTTATATCTCAAAAAAGAAAAAGAGAGATTGCAACACTTCTGGCACCCTGTTTGTAGAAAACCCTGTGCATGTAAGTACTTCTGCAAGGAGATATAAAGCCTGCTGCCCTTTACCCAGACAAGAGTGAATGTATGGCGAGTATGGTGATTGCTATGGATGAGAAGAGCCTAATTAGTGCTTGAAAGGATGCATTAAGGAGGTGGGAAGTGAGCTGAACTGAAGAGGGGCAGGGATGAGGTAGGGAAGAGGAAGAGGAGGGAAGGAAGGGACCTGATTTTTAAAATAAGCAACATTAGTTTAGAATGTTTACAAAGAAGATAGTAAGGCATCTTAAGACATCATTTTCACTGTTCTTGTTTCACAGATGTATACCACTGCAGTCTTCTGCATATGAATTCTACAATTTTTCAGTCAATTTTGCCTTCATTAATGTCACTGATACAAAGAAAGCCTCTTGAGCTCATTTAATTTTTAACCATATTTAGTTATAGTTCTGGATTGATGATTTCATTGGAATTTTTTGCACATTTCATCTTCCTTTGAAATATATCTAGGTTTCTTAAAATGTAGAAAATGAAATATCAAGAAAACTTCTTGCTTTGATTGTCTTAGCAAGAATAGAGCAGTTTTCACTCATTAAATTAAGATATTTAAGATAAGGAGTTGCAAGAGTCTAAGCAATTTCTTAAACCCACTGTTTTTAAAGTTTGTCATAAATCATCCAAGTTAATTATTTATAAGAATCTCTTGAGAATATAAGAAGTCCCAGAAGACTCAATGCAGTCTTAGCTTTAATAACTTTTGAAGCTTAAGTGCTACACAAATTAAAATAAACACACACATTATTTGAAAGTTCCTTTAAATTTCTTTTTTATTATATATTTTTGTGAGTTTTAAATTAAAACATTTAAATAAGTTAAAATGACAAAGTTATTCAAAATTCATATATAAAATTTTCTAAGTGGTAGCATTTGTACTTCCGAAGTTATTAAAACTAAGGCTGCACTAAGTCTGTTGGGACACTGTTTGAAGACAGTTGTTTTGTGGAATGGTTTTCAGTATTTGGGTGGTTGGTGTAGGCCAGTCCAGAGGCTAAGAGCTGGATTTCTGAGGACTCATCCAGCAATCTGAGCTTACAGCTGCGTTTCAAATTGCAAAATTATGAAATACAAATTCAAGAACAAAAGTAACATGCAATCAGGAAAAAAACCAAGATAATGTAACTTGAGATGCAGAAAATAACCAGATGTAGCTATTATAAAAATACATACATTTGAAGGTATTAGGACACATGATCTTTGTTGAAACGCACTATGGTCTAAATTCTTTGGTGAATAAGTAAAGAGTGAAGTTCATCTGCCAATGCAGGATCCAGACGACAAGCCTTAAAATAAAAGACAAAGAGTCACTTATTTAAATACATTTTGAATTATTGGGTCTTTCTTCCTTAACAATTTTTGGTTTGTTTTTAAGAATAGTAAAATACAATGAATTTCAAGGGAGGGGTTTTTTTTTTTTATTGATTTCAGAGAGGAAGAGAGAGGGAGAGAGAGATAGAAACATCAATGATGAGAGAGAATCATTGATCGGCTGCCTCGTGCACATTCCCTACTGGGGACCAAGAGCCTGCAACCCAGGCATGTGCCCTTGACTGGAATTGAACCGGGAATCCTTCAGTCCACAGGCTTATGCTCTAGCCACTGAGCCAAATCGGCTAGGGCTCAAGGGAGTTTCTTAAGATACATATCTGTTCTGATTTCTTAATTAGGGAAGTTCAAAGTAGCGTATGTTAAAAAAAAAAAAGAAAAAAAATCATACTAAAAGTACCCATGCTCTTATCATCTGAAAAAGAGAAAATTTTCTGTGTGAAGAATAAAGGAAATTTATGTTCTGATAATAACAGCATTTCTATGACATGCATTCTTACAATTAAGTAATATGGAAAGCATGAACCTTTAGCCTCAAAATGGTTACCTCATTATATGAACAGCAGCATCTATAAATTATTTTAAAGAATATAGTCTGTTATGACTAAAGTAAATACTGATACATAATAGTGCATAATTTCATAGGATGTGACGAACTGAGATGTGACGTCAGAGGTGATTTCATCCTGACCTCACTCCATGCAGAAACCGTCCCTTCAGGACCCATGACAGCTGGTCACTAGATACTTGCTTGGTTGCTTCTAGTGGCAAGAAGCAACCACTTTATAGGAAAAACTGTTATCATTTCCTGAACAGTCGTATGAGAAGGTTGTTCTTTATATTAAGCTAAAATTCGCGCACCAAACCCCCCCATCCCCCCCCCGCCCCGCCCCGTGCGGCAGTCGTCGAAGGTCTCAGGAGAGCGTACAGTGCTGGTTTCACAGAAGCCCTGAGGTGGAGGAGGCGGCAGGCCCGGTTTCCTGACTGTAGCCCTGTCCCTGCACCGTCTGAGGCCTTAGCTTTTCCCTCCGTGCACTGCAGGGGCTAGAACTCTGCCCCCGCCCCGTTCCTTTTCTACAGGACAGCCCTTCAGTCAGGAGGACCATGCTCAGGACCCCTCCGTCCTTTCCTCTGAATGGAAGTCTCTCTGGTCATGCTTCATATGACAGGATTCCCGACCCTCTCTGGCTTCCGACACCTGCACTTTCTCCATGTTCAAGTATCTCCCATAAAACACAACGGCCACAATTGAGTAACGGACATTCTCTCCCACCACGTGGAAAATCGTTCGAGGGTTGCAAGCTGTTTGGACCCAGCGTTGTCTCAGCTTATATTTATTCAGAAAAGATACTAAGGACAGCGTGCACTCTGAAATTGACTTGGTTTGGAAATCGGTATAATACACCGAACATTCAGATTTTTGAAAAGACAACTATTATTCACACTAACAGAATGATGTAGTGATAAATACCTCAAAGGTTGGTTGTATTTGTGTATTGTATTTCTACATAATTTAGGGTTCGCAAACATGCCTGCCAGGATTCCCAAAACACTGGCATCCTGAGGCGCTTCAGTACATACAGTGCCCCACTTCCGGGGACTGAGATTGAGTTGCTCTGAAATGAGGCCTGGGCTTTGGAATTTTTGAAAGATCCCTAGTGATTTCTTTTTTTTTTTTTTTTAAATATATTTTATTGATTTTTTTACAGAGAGGAAGGGAGAGAGATAGAGAGTTAGAAACATCGATGAGAGAGAAACATCAATCAGCTGCCTCCTGCACATCTCCTACTGGGGATGTGCCTGCAACCCAGGTACATGCCTTTGACCGGAATCGAACCTGGGACCCTTCAGTCCGCAAGCCGACGCTCTATCCACTGAGCCAAACCGGTTTTGGCAGATCCCTAGTGATTTCAAAACAGACAAGTGAACATCCATCAGTTACCTCCTGTATGCACCCCAATTGGGGCTTGAACCCACAACTTAGGTATGTGTCTTGACCGGGAATCAAATGCAAAACCTTTTGGTGTACAGGATGATGCTCGAACCAAATGAGCCTCGCCAGCCAGGGTTGTCTTTTCTTTATATGAAAAAATATAGTTATTCTTTATTACCACCCCCCTCACCCACCCCTCCCCTCTTTTAACAGCTGTTAGATTTTCAGACCTGAAATCCGTTGGAATTTGACTAAATCACATGGATTAAAACATGAAAAGGCTTATTTTAACTGATTGCTGCAGACGCATGAATATTCCTCCTCACCTCAGTGTGGAAGATGTCATTTATACAAAACTTTTTTGAAAAACTACATTTCATTAAGGTACTAGAACGAGGATACAGGCTCACCCTTTTTTCTGGGTGAAAGAAGGCATGAATATTCTGGCTTTGAGGTCTTAGTGCTGGCCTGAAAGCATCAGAGTGAGAGAGAATAATACAGGACTTCTAATCATGCTAAGAATCTGACAGGATCATCTAACAATCATGTCAAACTCGTGGCCAGCGGGCTATATGCCTCATTTACTTAAATAAGGCATGCGGCCCGCCAACCGTGAGTTTGACATGCTTGTCTGCATGTCTGACAGCCTCTCCATAGACATAGATGATCTCTATAATAACTAAGGAGGACAGAACACTAATCCATAAAAGCAGCCTCGGAGTCATTTATGCTTATTCTTGGGCTCACTTACTTTAGAATAATATTGTTTAGCGGTTGCTTCATCCTTTGTGGTCCCCAAGCCAAGCTGTAGGCACCGGGCATGGTAGAAGGAGGCCATGGCCATGCCTCTGCTGATGAACTCCGGGAGACAGTCCGTGACCTGGGCTATCGTCGGGATGTCTTGCTCCTCATCGTAGTCGGCAACCCTGTTAGGACGTAAATTGTGAAATAAAAAGGATGTCAGTTATGGTTTACATTTTCACAAGCAACATGTCCACAAATTGTCCTTGTGTCTAAAATGATTTTCCCATTTCTACCTGTTTAACAAAGTTGTTGTGCAGTGAAAGGGAAACAACATGGTTAATACCGGGAAGAGTGATTGCTTTACAGCTTCCCTGTGATTATTCTCCTTGGGCTCAATAACCTAGAAAATGACTAGAACAGAAAAGAAAGGTTGTTTCCTTATAATAATATTTTAAACTTAACATCACTGTAGATTTCAACAATGGGAAAAAAAAAGTACTTTCTATTTCTTTGGCTCATGTATTTAAACATGGACCTTAAATTTGGACTTTACTCACATAAGACCAGAAAGCACATTAAAAAAAACTTGCACATCTATCTTTGGTTAAAAATGGTCAATAAAAATAATTCATTCTGGCCCTAGCTGGTTTGGCTCAGTGGATAGAGCGACGGCCTGCGGACTGAGAGTCCCAGGTTCGATTCCAGTCAAGGGCACATGCCTGGGTTGCAGGCTCAATCCCTGGCCCTGATCGGGGGTGCGGGGGGCGGTGCGGAAGACAACCAATCAATGTGTCTCTCACATGGCTGTTTCTGTCTCCCTCCCTTCCACTCTCCCTAAAAATCAATGGGAATATATCCTTGGGTGAGGATTAACAACAACAAAATATAGCCCTAGCCAGTTTGGCTCAGTGGATAGAGGGCCAATCTGGATTAAAGGGTCTGGGTTCGATTTTGGTCACGGACACATGCCCAAGATGTGGGTTTAATCCCCAGTAGGGGGCGTGCAGGAGGCAGCTGATCAATGATTCTCTCTCATCATTGATGTTTCTATCTCTCCCTCTCTGAAATCAATAAAAAGATATTTAAAAAATATAAGGGGACCGCCTGCTTGTGCTGCTATTAAGAAAAAAATTCATTCTGTGTAACCCAGACACAGATATGGAGAATTGTGTGAAAATGAGATCTAATCACGTTAACCCTAATGGTATGGAGAATAGGAATGTAGACAATAATGTGAAGTTTCAAAGATTTTAAGAACTTTGTAAAATCTTCATTTTAATCAAATGGGCACTTGGGGATTTGGGACATTGGTGATCACACCTTTACGTGACCTGCTGTCTGGAAGCCAAGATGTTGGGAGGCGAGGGTAGAAGCAGCAGATTCATCCCCCATTTTGGTGGCTGCCTCCCGGGGGGCTGGGAGGGAAGGAGCCGTGGGCTCCATAGGGGCATTATTGGAGGGAAATGCATCAACATGGGCCTGTGCCACCCCAGGGGACAGCCACAGCTGTTTTTCCTGGTGTGTAGCTTTTGTACATGCTGGGTAAGTAAATGTAGGAAAATACATGGGCTCACAGAAAAGAAAGTTCCATGTTTTATGGAAATTTCCAAATATTTTATCAGATGTATGTGTTGGGAGTCTTTTAACCATTATTCTTATTTTACAGCCCTAATCAAGCTATATTGCAATTACGTATTTAGAGAACCTGTGGCTAAGGATGCAGGAAGAAATGAATATTTAATACACATTTCTACTGTGCCAAGCCATGTTAAGTACTTTATATGCAATCTTTTTACAATCCTGCAGAAGTATGTTTTTCTTATAAATAAAGCAATTGATGCCCCCCAGAAGTTAAGAAACTTGCTGAACTCACTCAGTTGGTATACAGAGCGAATACCACTGAAATCCTGAAAACCAATGGCACAGAACTGTACTATCTGATATGGGGCTACTTAATTAAAATCCAATGAAATTACAAGTTCAGACCTCAGTTGCACTAGCCACATTTCCAGCCCTCAACAGCCATCATTTAACAATATTGCAGCAAGTCCTGCGAACACACCTGGCACAGAACATGCAGCCGGTGTTTCTGCCAACACCTTCACCCAGCTTGTTTACCTTTTGGAAAAGGCGACGCACTTTGTAAAGAACTTCATGTTGTAGTAATACTCCACGAGGTTCCCTTGGGCGTAGACATTTCCACGCTCCGCGGCTTCCCGCAAGCAGTACAGGGCAGCCTCCGTGTCCTGTTGGATGCCATGTCCGTAGAAGTACATGAGCCCCAGGGCACCCTGGGACTCCAGGTTCCCATTGCCGCATGCTTCTGAATGCCAATAAAATGCCTTTACAAAAGCAGTTTCGTCTTGTTACTCACAAGGTGAAATTACAAGGGAATACCAGAAAGAAAAAAGTCTCTAATGATAAGATAGTACTGTTAATTCATCTCTAGGAAATAGTTCTAGCCCCTTGAAGGTATTTCAGGCTAGCATCAGTTTCACACCTTAGAGAGAGAGTGTGTAAGGTGAGCCTGCCTGACGACAGTGCACGTGAGCTCGGCTGTCTCGGGTTTCAGGATTTTCAGATTTTCCACCGGAAGGATCCAGAAGGTGGGAAACTGGAATGGTGTCTGCAGGGTTTTGAGACAAACCTGCTACTAGGCACAGCGGGGAGGGACAGCTGTTGACGCTCAGGAAGTCAGAGCTCAGGTGGATCGCCGAGATGGGGCTTTCAAGGCCAAAGGCAACCAAGGGTAAAGGCTGCATGGGGACCAGAAACATCTGATCAGTACTCAGCTACGTGGATGTGAATTAGTTCAAAAACTAATTGGCTGCTCAGTTGTCCAAGGAAGGTCTTAGATTGTTTTGTGCCTCTTACAAGTTTGTCCATAAAGCCTCTTAACAAGTTGGACTCAGCCCTACATTTCCTTTCCCTATAAGGTTTTTTGGAAAATATTTCAGTCATGGTGATGAGAGAAATTATAATTCCGTAAAAATCTTGAATGGATTTAATTTTCAATTAGTTCTTAGTATATTTTACTTACTAGTATCATTGTTCCTCAAATCAAATGTCATCATTTATTCACACTAAAAAGGATTTGGGCTTTATTTCAGGACTCTCTGGAAGCTCTCATGGAGTAAGTTTGTCTGTGTAGTTTTTATAGCATACCAATTCTCTCACATCCGGGGTCCCCTTTGGTAGAGGCAGGAAAGGTGGCACTCATAGATGAGTAAAGGATGGAATGAGCTTGGAGATCTTAAAATTTACATTCTTTACATTTTAAAGAAATGTCAGATTCAAAACCGTATTCCTTATCTCCCTCTTTTAAAAGAAAAATAGTAAGACAATCTAAATAGAATACTAGCTAACATTTAAACAGATCAGCGTTACCTTTTCTAGCTCTTTGGGTTCCTTCGTTGAATAATACAACCCTAGCATACTTTGAGCCTTCACACTGGCTTTTGGATTCCCATTGTCCGCAGCAAAGAGCCAAAGTCTGGAAGGGAAAGACAAGGCAAGTGGTTATGTGTTTCAGCATATGATTAAGACCAACACTCATTCTCAGGTAAGTACCTCTCAGCGTCCTCAATTGATCGGTTAATGCCTTTTCCTTCGTAATAAGCTCTTCCAAGGTTGTAAGCAGCTGCAAATTGTAAGTGTCTTGCTTTGGGACATGGAGAATCAACTATTTTCTTCATATATTCCACTCCTTTTTCCTTCCACCAAGGAAAAGAACAAACAAAAAACCCCAGATTTTAGTTTTACCCAAACTAAATTCTTCTCCCAATAATGTTGTAAAGCATTCACCCTCTGACATGATATAATTCCTGACTCTGTGCCCACGCGGTGTGTTGTCCTGGGTGTGCAGGGCTAGAAATAAGGAAAGAAGTAAAGGCCATCGCCTGGAAAGGCATCCTGGGAGCTCTGGGATATAAGGCAGTTCCCTCACTTCACAGCTTCCAGACTTGCATTACATTTCAATATGGTTTCCAATTTTCTCTCCTCCCTCCGGCTTCTAGGCCTTATTCGGAATCAGCACAGTTCTTGGAATTGATCAAAGTGCAAAAACAGCCGTGACTTCTTTCACATTTGTAATTCTCACAGGATATGTGAGGCCCAAACAAATGCTGTCTTCTCTCTTCGAGCACACTGTTCCCTGTGTGCCAGTGATAATGTACCTCCAATATGCTAATGTTCATAAGACATCCACATAGTCACAGAGTGCGCAGGAGACAGCCTGCCCACCCACAACACAGCTTTCACCCTCCAAACATCCATCAGACACAAGCCTTGAAACACTGCCAAGAAAATAATACTTGACGATCAAATACGTGTTTATATATTGGAATGACCCTCACTGCTTTCTCAAAGTGCTGTTGCTGGCTATGTACCACAGTAGATGAGAAAATAAAGGTGTTTTACTTTTCGTGAGCCCCAGGTTATATGGATTTATTTTTGTGAGTGCATGAGGTAGGTAGCTACCATTTTCCCTCCACCTGGATAGCAAGGACTTAATGGTAGCCAAGTGAAGTGGTGGTAAACCCTCCCATTGGTTGCCTTACATGGTTGCTCCTTGTTGCTGCTCAGTTCTTAGTTTAGGTGTCAGATAAAATGATGGGACCATACAGGGAGGAAAACTAATCCCAGAGCCAGTCTTCAGATTCATGTTAGGGAATGACCAGTGGCCAAGAAATGGATAGAACTAGAAAAGCACTGAGCTGGTCTGAACGTAAAAGTAGGTACTTTGTGCTGGGGTGGAAAGTGAGTTGGGGAATGGAAATAATGCCAGCTCCACCTTTGAGCACTCTGGTACACTGGGATGAAGGAGGGAGGGCTCTCTACTAGAGGGCTGCCTGTGGGACAACCACGTTTCTGATAAAGCAAGGAAATGAAGAAAGTAGTCTGAAGAAAGGCTGAGGATCTGGGGGCCTCTACTTGCCAGCTGTAAGGCAGCTGGGAGAGGGAGAGGACAAGCAATATGGAGTCCAGAGTATGTAAGAAGACAGATGACCAGAGAGGCATACATTTCTGTGTGGTGGCCAATATAATAAAGCTGGGAAGCCTGGCAGACCTAGTGAAGTCAAGGTTCCACGTGGCATTCCACTACCAAGTTCAGATGGAGACATGTGCTCTGGCCTCTCGAGGCCTAGTGAAGCCCACTGATGGCAGTGGTCAGGCGACAGGATCCCTGGTGAGGGTTTGGAATGGCAGTTACTGGTTTGGAAACTAAAGACTTCACCAAGTAAATGGCCAACTAGATGGCTGTCCATGGGAACAGACCCATTATGCCCCTTTCATCTTCAACATGGAAGCCTGTAAAAGTTTATAAAGATGGACAGGGCATGATCAGATTTGAATTTTGAAAAGATGGCTTTGGCGGCTGTATGAATGAATTAGGGACAAGAGCAGAAGTTTTAAGGAAATACTTCCTAGTACTGTTTTTTAAAATTTTTTAAAATTTAAAAATTTTTTTTTTTTAAATATATTTTATTGATTTTTTACAGAGAGGAAGGGAGAGAGATAGAGAGTTAGAAACATCGATGAGAGAGAAACATCGATCAGCTGCCTCCTGCACACCTCCTACTGGGGATGTGCCTGCAACCCAGGTACATGCCCTTGACCGGAATCGAACCTGGGACCTTTCAGTCCGCAGGCCGATGCTCTATCCACTGAGCCAAACCGGTTCTGGCTTAAAATTTTTATTATGAATAAATATTGAGTTTTATGGAACTTTCAATATACTAAAACCATATCATTTCTTTTATTCAGGCTATTCAAGTGGTATATTATATTCATAGATTTTCTTATCAACAAATTATTAAATTTCTGGGCTAAATCTTACTTGGTTATTATATTCTTTTAATGGGTATTGATTTTGTTTCTGACAAAGGCAAATATTTTCTTATCCTAACAGCTGCCACCATAACTTTTCTTGGAGAGATGTGATCTTTCTCTAGGAAAGTTCTCTGAAAAGCTCCTGAGGCGATACCCTGATAGCAGCATTGCCAACACAGGGCCACAGCTAATCAGTCAACACTGGAGGCTCTGCTGTGGGTCGGACACTGGTGTAAATCCTGGGGATTCGGCAGTGAGGAAATAGACAAAACAGCCTAATTTTAAGGAGCTTATATTCCAATAGGGAGGAGGAAGTTAAGCAGTAACAACGGAGACCATCATCAAGTCTGTGAAGAATGGCCACAGAAAACCTTTCGGAGGAAGTGCATGGGACAGTGACCTGAATGAAAGGAAGGCAGACGAAGAGGTGACTAAACAACGCTGTGTGAGAAAATGGGATAAATTCATTTGGGGATCAGCAAAGGAGAGGATTAAGGGAGAAGACACAGAAAGGGGAAAGGGTGGGGGAGGAAGAGACCTCAGCAAGTTGAAGAATCCTGTGAGGTGGGGCAGACAGTGAGAGGTGCTCGATAGATGGCAACTGAAATGACTGATGAGCAAGTTCAAGTTGTTCACTATGTGGGATCCGGTGTGGTCCTCCATGTTAGAAGCAATGCTACAAGCACAATCCTGTTTTATGAGGTCATCAAAGACAAGAGGCAGTGACCTATGCCAGGGCAGAGATAATGGCATGGCCACAAAGATGAAGAGTATAGAGTAAAAATCTGGAAAGAAGAAGAAAAGCAGAAGTGACTGTGAGAACATAAACCTGAATATTTTAGATCAATTTTGAAGCTCTGATTATTTAAATCTTAAGGAATGAGTGAAATTGTCATCACATAACTTATTTTTTTTTTGGGTGGGAGTATTGTTTAATATGATTTTCTTTGTGCTCAAACATATATGCCTAGTATATTTTCAATTTTGGTATCTCAAACAAGGAGTATTAAAATTTCATGTTAGGAATTTTATGGTGTGGATGCTGCATAGTTTATAAAACTTACCTATTATATACTGACTATTATCTATCATGTCTAGAAATTAAATTTAATATTTTGTAAACTTATTTTTTAGCACATTTCCTTCATGTGGTCTGATGCTATGACATCTGGCACATATAGGCTCTGAATTATGATTTTCATATTAAACAGAGCTTTACTGCTATGGGATTATAATTTCTACACTAAGTTTTAATGTGTTTCTATGCTTCTTTGAACATCTTCGTTGATGCACTAAAAAAATACATGTCATTTTCTTAAGTACATATTTACTCTCTCTTAACAAGGAAATTTAGATTAATTACATTTGTCTGATGGCTGCAATAATTATGAGTTTCTTTTTATATAAAATTTTTAAACATACAGGAAAATAGAAAAGATATACAACAAAAATTTGTATAACTACCATATAAATTATCAGTAACATTTTGCTGTATTTGCTCCTACTTTTTTTGCTTTGTTTCAAGTTATCTGCAGATGTAAATATCAGTACAGTTCACACCTAAATATTTCAGTATGCTTTACAAGAGAAGTTCTTCTGAACAAATACCAGATGTGTCCCTTCTAAATAATGTTATATAAGATTTATATATATAAATTCACTGCATGGGGCAATTCATGATAGCACATAATTTAAAATAATAACAATGTTTATATTAGATGGCAGAATTTGGAATGATCCTATTTTTTGCTTATTTTCTAGCTTTTTTTCTCCATGTTTATGTAGCTTTGAAAATACAGGAAAGCATATTAAAAGAGAAAATTATTGGCATCTAACGGTAGCAAGAAGAAGGAGCAAAAAAGAAATTTTGTTTTTCACACAAATGAAAAATGACTAGTGCTATCCTTTGAATGCTAAAAGGTTAGAGATTACTGAATTATAAGGATAGAAATGTATGATTAAAATGTGAATAATTTCAATTGTATCAGATAATCCATTAACAATGAAATCTTAAACACTGCGAACAAATCAATAACTTACAGCTTTTACAGCTGTCCCCAGCCCATCATAATACATTACGCCCAGCTGGTAAATTGCTTGATGATCATGGTCCTTGATTTCTTCAAACTGTTCTAATGCTTCTTCATACCATCCCTGCAAGCTCACAGGAAATACTGAATTATTATTATCTTAAAGTAATCCCAGTCATTTAATTCCCACCCAAATCTAGCCAGTAGCACCAAATAAACCAAGAAAAGACAGTCACAAATTTATGGACTTTGCAAGTTAAGTCACTGACAACAGTCAACACGCTATAAAGTCAATTAAATAGACCTAAACATGGCAACTGAGGGAAGTGACCAGTAGGAATTTAGGTAAGAGTCTCTTTGGCTTTCACTCTTACTCTTGCCTATTGCCAATCCTCTCTTGAAATGACAGCTTAGCCGACTGCTCAATCTAGCCTGCCACCTCCCCCACCACTCCTGAAGTCTGAGAAATATCAGAGCTGGGACCAAAGCCTTGGAGAAGATTTGAGACATCCTATCTAATAAAAGGGTAATATGCAAATTAACTGTCACTCCACCACAAAGATGGTGGCGCACATAGCCACAAGATGGCAGCACCCAGTCCCCTCAGCCTTACCGCTGGCATGTCCGGTCCTGTCAGCCCTGCTTGCCCCTCGCCGAGAGCAGACAGCAGGGCCTTGCTTGCCTCTGGCCGCAGTGGCGAGACAGAGAGCAGACAGCAGGCCCCCGCAGCAAGCAGACACCAGGGCCCTACTTGCCCCTGGCCACAGAGGCGAGCCAGAGAGCAGACAGGCAGGCAGGTCCACAGAGAGCAGAGAACCACGGGGAGTGGGCCTAAGCCATCAGTAGGACATCCCCTGAGGGCTCCCAGATTGGAGAGGGTGCAGGTCGGGCTGAGGGACCCACCCTCCTCCTGCACGAATTTCGTGCACCGGGCCTCTAGTTGTAGTATAAAATCTATCTTACACTATAAATTAAAAATCTGTTTATATTTTTGTCCCAAATATTTAATATTATCTATAAAACATTTTCATGTTCATAGTAACTGATGACCCTGATTCTTACCTTGTACTTAAGGGTAGTTTATATATTCCTCTACACCAGAGGTCGCCAACTGATGGTCCATGAGGTCTGAAAGGTTGGCGGCCACTGCTCTACACAGAGTAAGGAGGGAACTGCCCTCTGTCCACATTATGCTGACGTACCCTGCGGGTAGGTCAAGAAGGGACTGTACAGGCTATCACTTGAGAATATACAATAAAAATTTGCATAACTGCCACATAAATTCTTAGTAATAACATTTTGCTACCTTGGCTTCATCTATTTTTTTAATAGTAGTGAATATCCTTATGAAGGACATTGGCTGTTATTAAACATCCACTATTATTATGGCTCATGTCCTTCAGTTTTGCAGTTTTCCAGCTGAGAAGACATGGAAAAACAAGCATGTGATTCTCGAAAATTAACTTCCTCCCATACTTCCTATAAAAACCCACATGTTCTGTATCATCACTGTAAGGCTCCTCAGCAGTTAGACAAATCCGGTAACAAACATGCTATGGTGTGAGGGACTCATACGGGATTTTATATTTTAATCCACCATGAAAACGCCTCACACTAAAGAATGAATCATTTGTAGTGGTAGAAAGAGAGTCTTTTACTGAATTGGAGGTCATTATTAGGAAGAGCAGGCCAGAGAAAAACAGCTTTTGGGAAACACAAAAATAATTAAATTTCTCTTTTCATCAACTGTCATTAATCAACCAATGGATAAAAATTAACAAAAACTACCCCAAAATCCTAATAAATATTTATTTATTTTAAAGAGGACGTATCCAGTCACTGACGTCGTTCCTTTGTGGCGCGGGAGGAACCACCTGGCTTCCAGTTCTTGCTGGTCGCTCTGAGCGGGTTTAGAGTCATTTCTTAGGAAATGAAAAGCGGGAGAAGGTGCGAAATCGCCCGAGGGCCTGGGTCTCCGCTCCCGCTCCCGCTCCCGGGGCCCTTGAAGGTCAGGGAGCAGCGGTCTCCTCCCCTGGGTCACTGACTCGCTCCGTCCCGTCCCCCTACCCCCACCCCCGTCCCTGGGAGGTGGGGAGGTCGCCCTGGAGAGACTGGGAAGTCTGTCCTCCACGCTTTCTCCTTGAAGTAAACTTTAAAAATAAATAAAAAGCACTAACTTTTATAACACACACACACACACACAAAATAAAGAGTACGTATCAATGAGTAACTGACTGAGCTGTTAAGACTAATTTTCCTTTCTGGCTAGTGTTGGGCTTAGATGTGGCAGGGCTGGAAAAGTTAGACTATGCAAAGGAAAGTAAGAAAGTTCTTTCAGTTTCCATTATTTTAAATACCATATACAGGTGGAAGATCTCAAATGAACACTTTCAACCCAAACTTCTCCTTCGAGAACATGTAAGTTTCTACTTTGAAATCTGTCTACTTGGATGACTAATGGGCATTTTAAACATAACATGTCCAAAAACTGAACTCTTGGTCATCACCTCAATACTCACTCTTCCCCAGTCTCTGTTTTTCAGGCCATTATACCACTGTCTGTGTCTCCAGAATAAATCCAGGACCCAGCTCCACTGCTACAACTCTGGTCAAGATTACCAACCTCTCTCGCCTAAACTAGTGTAATTTCACCCTGAACTAGTTCTATGCCTTCCTCCTAATCCGTTCACCACAGACTGAAAGCCCTCCGATGGCTTCTCACTACATTTAAGCAAAGCTCCTCCAGAGCCCTCTCTGCCTGGCGCATTCCACACTGGTCTCCTTTAGATCTCAAAACATTCTCACCGATGGAATGTGCTATTTGTTCTCTCTCTGGAACACACTGCCACTGGCTGTTTGCATTGTGTTTCCTTTTCTGCAAGTGTTAGTTTCAACAACAGGTCTTTCCATCCTACGCCTAAGTTATTCTCTATTGTTGTACACAGTTAATTCCTTTCCTAGTACTCTTCCTTATTTTTAATTATACATATATTCATTTTCTCCCCCTTCTGGACTGTAACCTTTGTGAAATGGGGACCATTCTGATTCCCTCTTCATTTTATAGCACATACTAGCAAAGCCTTATGAAGCACTTATTAGGTGCCAGGCCCTGTTTTACAATTAATACATCCTCACAATAGTTCTATGAACACACATTATTACCCCCCTTTTACAGATGAGAAAACTGAGGTACCAAGAGGTTAAGGATTTGTGCCCAAGGATAAGCAATTAAAAAGTAATACAGCCGGGTTTAAGAGATCAACCGAAGGACTTGTATGCATGCATATAAGCATAACCAATGGACACAAGACACTGGGGGTTAGGGGAAGCCGGGGGAAGGTCAAGGAGGGGAGGAGAAAAAAAAAGGAGACATATGTAGTACTCTTTGCAATACCTTAAGCAATAAAACAAATTTTTTTTTTAAAAAAAGCAATAGAGCCATATTCAAACCTGCGTGCAAAGCTAAGAGATCCTTCACTTAACCGTTATATTGTGCTATTCTCAGTTACAGGGGCATGACTGGTCCTCAACAAATACTTGTTGCCAGAATGAATGAAGGAGCCATCAAAAGATGAGAGAGTAAGTGGGTTATAGGTGAATAGCTGCCCAAATATTCAATGGATGGTGAGGGATTAGAGACAGCTGGTCCCTTTCACACCTTCCCTCAGGCTCAGTGAAGAACTAAAGCTGTATTACTGACAATGGAGTGAAAATATTTTAGATGATATTAAATATTTTGGGCAAAAATATAAACATTAGATTTTTTAATTTTATACCAAAACGAGAGGCCTGGCACATGAAATTCGTGCATGGGTACGGTCCCTAGGCCTAGCCTGCGATCAGGGCCATCTTCCCTGGCTGCTGGCAGCCATCACCACCTCCTGCTGCCACCCACCCCTGGTTTCCCGTTTGCCAATCGGAGGCTGCTGGCCCAGGGAAGGGACCAAGAGGTTGGCTGGCAGGCCCCGATCGGTTGATCAGAGCCTGCGGGCTGGGGGCAGCTCCTGCATTGACTGTCTGCCCCCTGGTGGTCAGTGTGCGTTATAGCGACCGGTAGTTCTGCTGTTTGGTTGATTTGCATATTACCCTTTTATTATATAGGATGTCTCCTATAAATGACTTTCATTAGAATGTCTTCATGGAGAAAGCCCAGATAGCTCCTTAAACTGATACCAGCATATCACACTTGAAGCCACAACCATAATCTGTGGAATTTGACAGAATTTCCCTGATATTACAAAGGAAGGAACTGTAGGAGATATTTTGCTATGAAGATCTAACAGCAGCATTAAATGAAATAAAAACAAATAAACAAAGACTGATACCTCTTCAAAATATAGTTGACCTCGCAGGAAATAGGCCATAGCATCCCCTCTTACTATTCTCTCCTTCAAGAGCTGCAATGCCTGATCCACCAAATTAGCATGGCTGTAACGGTCTGATTTAAGAAAGGTAAAGAATTATAACTTTAACACAATATGAATTTTCTCTCTTCAAGTCACCAATTATACAGAATTCATCTGACACTTTACACGAGTTTCCTTCCTAGTTCTCATTCCTCCTTGGCTAAAGGAGAAAGTATTATCATGGGCCCTAACACCAGGCCTCATACAATCAAGAAATATCTGTTGGTTGGTTTTCAGAGTAACCCAGTTTACCACTAGGAGGAGCTCTAGCAAGCAGTCTGTGTGCAATTCTTTGGGCAAAGTCATCCATGGGCGAGTGAAATTCTTCATCTGAGGCTTAATTAGAGCTATTCTAACCAAATGAGCTAACCATCCCCAATTTAATTTTTTAAAAGACCATAGAAAAAAAACGGTAGCTTTAAAGGCCAATTTCAAGTAAAGTATGGCATTGTCCTCCTTAACAGACAAGCCATCTGGCTTCCCTTTTCCAGAAGAGGGTCCTAAACCCCTGAATGTAAACTCAGGCTCGGGCTCTGTGAAATTTCCCCGCTGATGATTTGCTACCAGATGCGTGAAATCGCAATTTCGCATATTCCTACAGGAAAGCTACGAAGGGCTGTAAAGTTAACCCCCTCCTTGACAACAGTAAGACTCATATTTCTTGTCTCTTTTTTCTCTGGTGTACAGATCAACTTTTAGTGAAAATATTATCAGAATTTGTACCAGTCTTGTCCTTTGTCCATTGTAATAAGCTGTAGTTCCTGGCAGCATCCTGGAATAGAGAGGTATAGAGGGGGTCCTCGGGCAACTTCTCACTGGTCAACTGCATCCTGTTTGCACGTGTATTCTGTGAAAGAACATAAAAAATAAGATAGAAATATCTTCCTCCAGAAAAATTTGAAAAGACACTCCCATCCCCACTTGGCACTCATGAAAAGCAACCTCCCCACATTTCTAGGGGCAGGGCACCAAACTACCAGCCCTGGTGGTGAATATTCCTTCTTAGGAAACCAGGGCCCTTTGTAGCTATGAGAAGCAGCACAACCATCCTCCATGCCTGTCTCCAGAGCACGGGATTAATGATGAGAGCTCTCCGCACATCCTCTCTCTGAGTTTACCTGCTGCAACGGGTCACCTCACCCGCCACAGCAGCTGCCACTAGTAGGATTTGGCGACACTGCCCATAGATATAGTTCTTGTGCTCTAGTACCTTCCCATTGCCCTGTATCTGAATCTCATCAGGCTAATAATCCATTTCGCACCACAGCATTTGTCTGTTCTACCTGGGAATATGCTTTATTTTAGCTGTGTTGCTCAGTTTCACCTTCCTGTCTGTATTGGATTGCCATGCTGTAAGATCGCGGTTCAACGGAAAGTCAGAGCCTGCATAAAAAATGTAGGGGCCACCTCATCTGGGATGAAGGAGTCCAGGTTGGCCTAGGCTGAGGATAGTGAGACCGCAAACTCGGTTGTTGCTATGCTTTTTGTTTACTCCTCCGCATTCTATAGTTACAGCTGGCCTTCACCAATCAGGAGCAAGCTTCCAGTGGAGGTTCCTGATTGGTGGTGAAGAGCACTCAGCACCCTTTAGAGCAGTGGTTCTCAACCTTGGCTGCGCATTAGAATCACCTGGGAATCTTTTTAAAATCCTGATTTCTGGGCCTCACCCTCCGGAAATTCTTTCTCTGTTACTAATGTTGTGGCCCCACCCCATAACAAAGAAATAGAATTTCCGGAGGATGAGGCCCAGAAATCAGGATTTCAAAAAGATTCCCAGGTGATTCTAATGTGCAGCCAAAGTTGAGAACTGCTTTAGTGTGATTGGAAAGTTCCATTTCTACAATTTGATGACACTATTTTGGATAATAAATTGCTTCATTAATGAGAAGGAAGTGGCCCTAACTGGTTTGGCTCAGTGGCTAGACTGCAGGGGTGGGCAAACTTTTTGACTCGAGGGCCACAATGGGTTCTTTTTTTTTTTTTTTTTAATTAAATCTTTATTGTTCAGATTATTACATTTGTTCCTCTTTTTTTCCCCCCCATAACTCCCCTCCTCCCAGTTCCCGCCCCACCCTCCGCCCTCACTCCCCACCCACTGTCCTCATCTATAGGTGCACGATTTTTGTCCAGTCTCTTCCCGCATCTCCCACACCCCTTTCCCCCCCAGGAATAGTCAGTCCATTCCCTTTCTATGTCCCTGATTCTATTATAATCAACAGTTCATTCTGTTCATCAGATTATTTATTCACTTGATTCTTAGATTCACTTGTTGATAGATGCATATTTGTTGTTCATAATTTGTATCTTTACCTTTTTCTTCCTCTTCCTCTTCTTAAAGGATACCTTTCAGCATTTCATATAATCCTGGTTTGGTGGTGATGAACTCCTTTAGCTTTTCCTTATCTGTGAAGCTCTTTATCTGACCTTCAATTCTGAATGATAGCTTTGCTGGATAAAGTAATCTTGGTTGTAGGTTCTTGGTATTCATCACTTTGAATATTTCTTGCCACTCCCTTCTGGCCTGCAAAGTTTCTGTTGAGAAATCAGCTGACAGTCGTATGGGTATTCCCTTGTAGGTAACTGAGTTTCTTTCTCTTGCTGTTTTTAAGATTCTCTCTTTATCTTTTGCTCTTGGCATTTTAATTATGATGTGTCTTGGTGTGGTCCTCTTTGGATTCCTTTTGTTTGGGGTTCTCCGCGCTTCTTGCACCTGTAAGTCCATTTCTTTCACCAGGTGGGGGAAGTTTTCTGTCATTATTTCTTCAAATAGATTTTCAATATCTTGCTCTCTCTCATCTTCTGGCACCCCTATAATTCTGATGTTGGTACGCTTGAAGCTGTCCCAGAGGCTCCTTACACTATCCTCGCATTTTTGGATTCTTTTTTCATTTTGCTTTTCCGGTTGGGTGTTTTTTGCTTCCTCGCATTTCAAATCATTGACTTGATTCTTGCGCTCCTCTGGTCCGCTGTCGGGAGTCTGTATAATATTCGTTATTTCAGTCCGTGTATGCTTAATTTCTAGTTGGTTCCCCAATATAAGATCGAGGGTCTCATTAGTTTTCTTGTAGATCTCATTAAGTTTATCGGCGGCTTCTAAACAGTTCTTGAGAGACCTTAAAAGTGTGGTTCTGAACTCTATATCTTCCATTGACAATTTTGTCCTGTTTCTTTGTCTCTGCATTTTGTTATGCTTCCTTGGTGCACCCCCTAGTGGTCTTTGTTCGAAGTCTTATAGTTAAATCTTGATTGTTGTAGCTAATTCCAGGGAGGGTTTGACCTCCAGGCCAAGTGGCTATGAGAATCAGCTGTGTCAGCAGTGAGAGAACTTCTGTCCTCTAGGGAGGTGCTAATCTAGCCTTTGCCTGAGGCTATCCGGCAAATGCCTGTGTGCAGGGCTTGGGCGGGGCGGGTCGCACAGGATCAACGGGGTGGGCCGGAGAGAGCAGTTATGGCGGCTCTCAGTCCTGTCCCCAGGGGCTCTGCCTCTCTGAGTCCCAGCACCCGCTGCAGAGCTCAGAGAGAAAGCTGCACTCGCTCTGACCGAAGCCAGACAGTCCCGCTTCTCCCGTTTGAGTCTGGGTCCCTAAAGACTCGCCCGGATCTGGAGCTCAGATTCTGCGACTCCCTCCTGATTGAAAACGCCAACCGTGCCCTCGGCCGCCAGCCCGCTCCGCACCTCAGAATTTGACTTCAGCACTGCGCCTCCTCTGAGTGTCCGTATGCGTTTCTCTTTCCTCCTAGTTGTAGGACTTCCACTCAGCCAGCATTCCTGTGGTTCTGGGTGATGTCCCTTCCGTTTTTTGGTTTCACTTTTGAAGTAGTTGTTCAAAGCAGCAAACTCCGGCGTTAACCTATGCCGCCATCTTGGTTCTCCCTCCACAATGGGTTCTTAAACTGGACTCAGAAGAAGGAGCTGCGGCCGTGTTTCCCGACGTTGCCATGTTAACACTGCTGCTGGTGAAGGAGCAGAGGGGAGAGCAAGAGAACCCTCCGCTCTTTCGGCTCCGTGGGCCAGATAGAACAGCCGAACGGGCCGGATCCGGCCTGCGGGCCGTAGTTTGCCCACGGCTGGGCTAGAGCATCCGCCTTTGGACTAAAAGGTCCCAGGTTCAATTCCGGTCAAGGGCATGTACCTTGGTTGCGGGCACATCCCCAGTGGGAGGTGTGCAGGAGGCAGCTGATCGATGTTTCTCGCCCATCAATGTTTCTAACTCTCTATCCCTCTCCCTTCCTCTCTGTAAAAAAATCAATAAAATATATATATTTTTTTAAATGAGAAGGAAGTGCAGGAAAGGGAGATAATTCAATATATTAGGCGGGGAAAAGCAATTAAGTATCTGTGATTTTGGAATAGTCACTTAATATTTTTAAGAGGCAATTTCCTCACCTGTAGTTTGGATTATCAGTAGTTTGAACTAGAGGATTTCAAAATGTCTGATCCTAGATATGTAACATTCTTTAGGAAAGAAGAGCAAGAAGTGAAGTGACCTTCTCACCACTTCATGCACGCTATTAACGTGACTGATCACTACTTTTTTCCCCTTCCCATGCTCTACTCTATGGGGGCAAGTCATTATGTGTAACCCACACTCCAGAGGGCAAGGTGGGGGAGGATTCTCGCCACTTCCTGGAGTGGGGAGTGTCTACATGAAGAGTTTGGAATTCTTTTGTGAGGAAGAGTTGTCTTTTCGCTCTCATTTCTTTATCGATTCAATCATTTATAACAGTATAGACTTAAGGATATCTATTTTATTGAATTATAATCCAACAGTACAATATTGTGTCATCCACATTGCTTTGGCCAGTGGGAGCTCTTTTAGGTTGCCTTCTGAGACTCTTTGACCTTCCTGGACTACCTCACAAATGCTTCCTCAGTCTTCAAGACAGTCCATTTGGTCACTTAGTCAGCTGTTGGAAGCTACCCATTGTCTTCACTATCAGAGAAGTGTAAACAAGGAGCCCAGAACGCTGGAGAACCTTGAGCCCTGGCAAGGGCCAGAGCTATGCACCAATTATTTAGTTGCAGAGTAAATCTTTACTAATACTTACTGACCTTCAAGATACTCTGTCTGTTACCGGAATTGCCTGCCTAAGGGCTATATGTGCATCCAAAATTGAAGAAAAGGTTGGCAAGGCCTGGGCACCTGTGGAAGTCCTTCCCCTTGCGTTGGGCTTCCTGCCTAGCCCCCAATATTTCCAAATTATTATGTCTTGTCTTGTCTCTGTCATTTGCATGTGGCCCCTCTCTAGATCCCGAACCCTGAACCACTCGGGACGTGGCTCGCACAGTCAGCATTCAATATATTTTTTTTAAACTCTCACTCTAAATGACATCCTCCTTCTGGAAACATACTTACCTGCAAATTAAACTTAAGTGAAACTATTACTGCTTACAAGAGTGCCTGTTGTGAATACACATCTTAGACCATCTTCCTTTTAAGAAAACTGATCCCACTGGTTTCATGTTTACTAAAAACTCCAGTTACTTCCCAATAAAACACTGTTCTCTGTGGAGAGTGACTATAGTGTTTGGACAGGTTCAAGCTTTGGACTAATGAGAGGGCATGGTCCTCTCATGGCAAAGCCACGTGCAAGTCCCAGCTTGGAGGGCAAAGCTCTCCCAGCACAATTATAGCCGAAGGCTATGGTGGTAAGCTTGACCTACGGTCTGAACCTGTGGTCCCAGGTAGATGAGTGGTGTGGGCCTGATAGAGTTCAGGTGCATGTAACTGAGTAGATTTGAAAAGCACGAGAATGTTGTAAACATCTTGACCACGCCCTTACTTTGCCTCCTGGAATCTGGCTATAAAATGAAGACACAGCTTTCAGGGTGTGGCGCTGTTGTTAGCGCTCCATCAGAGAGGACAATGTCCACCCAGACCCAGCTTTCTTCTTCTGTCTGTCTTTTCTCGATCCTTCACCGCCCCCTCTCAGACTCACCAAACCTGGCTGAGCTGGCTCGGCACAGTCCTCAAGTACTGATTCTGCTCCACCAGCTTTGTTCAGTTCCTGGAAAGCTTTTGGGTCCATTACTAAGGGTAAGCCAGCTATCCAGATAACACAAATATTTTTTCTGAAACAATATGAGCAATAGAGACGTACACAATGAGTAAAGGGAGAAAAGCTTTAAAAACTACTCACAAAATTCCCTTTCTTTGTCAAGTTTACAAATGTACCAGGAAGTTAACAATAATTATCAGACTTAATGCATGTTTTAAGGGAAAAGGATGTAATAGGGAGGCACATTTATCACACAGATATCCCATTATATGTTAACTGCAGTCCATTGTTAGACAGACGTGAGCAGAGCAAGGATAAAGGGCCAGGAAGAGAAACTCACCAGGGCAGAAAGCCCTGGATGCCTAGGAAGGGGCAAAACTCCAGGGTAACCTATCCTCCCCTAGCATATCACTGGTCATGCGGTTTAGACCCCCTGACTTTTTCCTCCCTAAAGATAACATCTAGGCCTCCATTGCATTTCAGCTCCAGGCCCAGAAAAGCAGCCAAGCCAGGTAAGTGACACGGTGGCTGCCTCAGGACCAGCTACAGTGGAGACCAAGACCCTGAAAGAGCACACCAGGAACCCTCCACGGAGCACGTCCATGCCATTCCTTCCCCCTCTCCTTGCCCCACAGGCACATATCCCCCACCCTCTAAGGGACCCCGTGAGACTGCAACCAGGGGAGCGATGAGCAGCGGCAGCTCGTCCTGGGCTAACCCCCGAACCTGCCTCCATGGCCCCCTTATCTCTGACTTCCCAGTGAACCAAAGCAGCCCTTTCCTGTTGCTTTTTCTATGCCCTTCCTTGTTGCACTGTCCTAACTACGTTTTTGCTGCCATCATGGACCCAATACTCTGGGGCTCAGTGCTGTGTAGCCCTACCCTTTGGCTATCCCCATCCCCCAGGCCCCTTTCCTTAAATAAATTCAGTTTACCTTTATTCACTGCCTGCGATGGCTATTTAGCCTGCCCGAGCCACACCGTCACACACGTTAAGAATTCTAAGAACTTACCTTGTATTAGTTAGGAATTCCTGAAAGGGAATATCTGTGCAACCCAGAAGCTTAATTATATGCTTTTAAAAAAGGGCTTACCTAATTGATAAACACTTGTCCATATTGCCAAAGGCAAATTGGCAAGAGGGACCCGTGTTCTCACCTGACAGCAGTATCTTTGCAGCGCCATTCTTTAAATCGCATAAAAAGGTATCGAGACTTGCTTAAGTATAAAACATACAGAACCAAAGCATGGCTCTATGTAGGTGCTTGGACATAAATATATACCCACATTTATGTCCAAGTACACATAGGAATAAAAATGTTTAAAACTACCCCTTGGGTCAGTGCATCAGTAGAGTAATATAAATGTATTACTGCAAAAATCATTTTATGGCTTATTGCAAAATAAACGATATACTGCAACCAAAATTGCAACTAAAAGGGCGCTTACCTTTAGAGGACAATGAGCTTGTCCTTAGAGGCACAATCATAAGCCTGTCTATTTTTCAGTCCTGCTCTCAAAGGTATGGGTAGAAAGGACCCGCTCAAGGCTTTTTTAGGGAGAGGAAACATACGGCTGGCTGGAGCTTTAGTTTTTAGCGAGATGACTCTGAAAACAGAACGTGCTTAGGAAAAGATAATCCATTTCACATTGAGCGCAAATGTAAGAGATTCTATTTGCGCTCAATGGCTACAGTTTGAAGTCAGGAAGTCCGTTTAAGTTTAAAAAAAAAAAAGGGATGACTTTAGCTAATGATTTGTTTATAAATTTAAGTATAAAGAGTTTCCGGAGAGCCAGGTCCCCAGCCCCCTCCTCCCTGGGATCAGCCGAGACCTACGTGGGCGCTGCCCGCGGGGGAGCCCATTGCCATAACCCTCCGGCCCGGGCCCCTCTTCCCCAGGACCTGTCCCCGCCGTCCGGGCGAGCTCTCCCGCCCCTTCCCCGCCAGCCCGCGGGTTCCAGCCCAACAGCGGGACGCAGCATCTGCCCAGGGGACCAGCCCAGCGGCTGAGACCTGCCGCCGGGAGGGGCCACGCCCCAATGGCAGGCTCCTGGCACAGGACCCCAGCAAGGCCAGGGGGTCGGGCCTGAGAAATCACCTAATTTGGGGGGTGGGTAGGGAAATCCTGCGGAAAACCCACCCCCTTAGGCCACATTACCCCCCCACCCCCACCCCCGCTTATCCTTCCTGTCCGGGGCGTGGGGGACCGAGGGGGCGATTCTGAACTTAAGCAGAAGGAACTCAATCCTTCCTCCGGCGCTGGGGGCGAGGGCGCGGCGCCAGCCCCACGCGGGGCGGCTCGCACAGGCGGGGCTGCGTGTGGCTCCCCGCTTCCTGGCTACGTGCGCGACAGCAGCCACCACAAGCTCCCTGCGACTCCCACCTCTCCGCTGGGACCAAGGGCGGGCCGCGCCGGCGTGAGACGTGCCCAGACCGGCGCGCCGCATGGACGCTGCGGAAGCCCGGCCGCCCCGACGCCGCCCGCTACGGCGCACGCGCACTGGGCTCCGCGCGGCAGCCTAGGGCCCCGCCCCCAGATGGGCGGGCCTGGCGCCGCCCCGGGGCCAATCGGCTGGCGGGCCCGCGCCGCTTCCTCCCCCTCCTTCCTCCGCCTAGGCAGCTGCGCCGGGTCCTGGCTTGCACGTGTCAGTGTTTGTGTACGTGCTGCGGCCGCGGGGCTGGGACGGGCGGTGCAGCCAAGGGTTAGGCAGCTGGGGCGCGGCGGCGGGGGCCGGCCCCCCTCGTCCCGCCGACTTTAAATTCTCCCGCACTTGGGCGGCTTTTGCACACTTACCTGCCAGTCTGCCGCGAGTGCCTCGCCGCCCTGCACGCCCAAGGACTCCTGTCCTCTGCTTCAGGCGGAAAATGCTGTTGTTTGATTGCAACTCAGAGGTGAGACTCGGAACCTTTTTGTCCCGCAGGCTGAAGCTTCCAGATGTCTGTCTTCTTGGGAGCGCTGGCGAGGGTGACTGTGGAGTGGCCACTGGGCGCTGCCTCTGCAGAGTTGGGAGGTTTTCAGCCCCAGGAGGGCTGGACAGAGGCAAGACGGGTGCTGGAGCTGCTCTCTTCCCGCAGGTGGAGAATCTGACGCACCTGCTGGAGGCCGGGGCCTCGGTCAACGCACCCCCGGATCCCTGCGAGCAGTCGCCTGTGCACTTGGCCGCAGGTGGCGGCCGGGCTTGGTTTCTTCTCTGGCAGCTGCAGACCGGCGCGGACCTCAACCAGCAGGTAACTAAGTAACTGACTGTTACTGTGCGCAACCCTCCGCTCCACCCCAAACCCGCGCAAACATTTCTTAGTCGCCAGGGTATTCAGTTGTTAGAAACATGTCTACGTAGCGATGTCCAATAGAGAAATACACGAGATACGAATGTAATTAAAATTTTTGTAGTAGCCACAATAATGGAGTAAAACGAAACATGAAATTTTGTAATTTAAACCCATTTATCCACAATATTATCATCTCAGTATAAAACATTACTGCTAGATATTTTACATTTTCTTTCGTATGTCTTTTCAATCTGGTGTGCATTTCATATTTACAGCGCACTTCAATTCAGGCAAGCCACATTGCAAGTGCTCATTAGCCATATAAATGCCTACTGGCTACTGCATTGGACAGCACATACAGGTTTGCAGTTTCAAAAGGAACACTGTGTTAGCAAATGAAAAGTCTCAGTGTAGCAACTGAACTATTTGTGAGGCAGGCTCACAACTTATAATTTTCTACATAACTTTTTCTTTGTTATTCCTCACCTGGGGATCTTTTTTCCTTTGAGTTTTAGAGTGGAAGAGGCGGGGAGAGACAGAAACATTGATATGAGAGACACACCCATTTGGTTGCCTCCTGCAGGTGGGGTTTGGAAGCCGGATCTGGGACCTTTCAGTCTGCCGGCTACTGAGCCAACTAGCTGGGGCTGTACATAACTTTTTTATGGTAGTCTACATCTTCCATTGAATATTGAAGTATGGTGAATTTTAAATTGCCATTTTTTTTTTTTACTTCCATAGAACTCTTTTTTATTCACTTAAATTTTAGTGTATGTGCTGTGACTGCACACATTTTTACTAATGAAAGCTTTGTATTTAATAACATACCAAGAGAACCTTATTAAAAAAATACTTGAATTAAAAAATTCAGCCCAGTACCATGCAGGTCCAACTAGGTTCCTCACATAGGTTCCTTAAACAATAAACTTCACCCACCAACTTCCAAAGAAAGTATTTTGGAGAGAAACTAAAATGTGTTGTCTTATATTTAAGGATGTGTTTGGAGAAGCTCCGCTCCACAAGGCAGCGAAAGTTGGAAGCCTGGAATGCCTTAGCCTGCTTGTAGCCAGTGATGCCCAAATTGAGTAAGTGTTAAACTTGGTGGCTTTAAATTGGATTAAATGACTCAGACTTCTGAAGCTTAATTACATGCGCTTTTAAGAAGGATGCCTGTCTGATGGATAGTGTTATCATTTAAATGTTAACTGAGGCTGTTAATGTCTGATACTATTCACTTTGAAGAAGTGAAGAGTGGATCCTGAGCCATCAGAGGTGGCAGAATTACACCTTAGTTTTGGTTTAGGGAAATCCATTCTATACAAGTTCTCATTGACTTTCTTGGGTACTTACCCACTGTATTGAACACAGAATACTCTTTCATTCATTCAAAATTGAAATGCCCACTCTGTGCTGGACTCTGCTAGCCACTGAGGACACCATAGTGAACACAAATGGAATTTGTCTGTGCTTCCTTTACCTCCTCTATTCTGCAGCCAACATTTGTATGAGCCCAAAGCTCCTTTGTTAGAAAGATATATATTTTAAAAAGGCTAAACAATTGTTAAGCTTTATTTAACTCGATCTTTATTTTAAATTCAGTTTATGTAATAAGAATGGGCAAACAGCTGAAGATCTTGCTTGGTCATGTGGATTTCCAGAATGTGCCAAGTTCCTTACGGCAATTAAACGTATGCAGACAGAAAACCCAAGTGAACGATCCAATAGCGATCACTGTGTTCCGGTGCTCAGGCAGAAACGGAGTTTCGGGAGTGCAGAAAATACAAGTGGGAAAAGGAAGTGTTGGTAAGTAACTCAGTTTCTTCTTTCTTCCTTCCTCTAGGATCTCTTATTTGGCACAGAAATTATTGTTTCATTTAAATATTGGCAGTCTTATTCTAGTATGTCTTTCATTCTCATTAACACATTTTAAGATCGGTTATAGTAACTACTAGCAGATTCTAGAAACCAAAGATTGTCCTGCATAGTAGAAGGTTGGGGAGATAACCTGTTAAAAAAGATTTTAATGTTAACATGTTTTTTAACAACAGATGACTTGGCTATGAGGAGGTGTGAAGAGGCCTTCACTTCGGGCAGATCTGCTGCTCAGCTACAAGCCATGGTTTCCGCTCATCAGGTGTCTAAACTCCTTCTAAGAAGGAGGAGAACTTTCTTCTAAGTGAAGATAACATTTATGAATGCATGTATTTACATGCCTACAATATTGTGGTTGTGCATACTTTGTCTATTAAGTTTTTAAAGGAATGTCTATAGACTAAATTCTTTTTTGTGTGTAGTATTTATAACCTTTAGGAAAAAAATCAAGGTTAAACCATCAAACTACACCCAGGATTTATTTGAAAATTAAACTTATTTTTTATTAACAAATTTATAATAAACTTTACTACAGTCTTTGAGTCCAAGATATCTATAATAATAAAAGTGTAATATGCAAATCAGCCGAATGGCTGAACAGCAGAACGACCGTCCAGACGACCACACTATGACACCCACTGGCGCCAGGCCAGCTAAGGCAGGTGCAATGCGATTGGTCACCCACAGAAGGAGCACCAGGCCATCGACCAGTGGGCTGCAGTGGGTGGGGGGGGGCCTCCTTGTGCGGGGGCGATCCACCTTGGAGCCCCGCTGGTTGTGTGGGGTCTACCTCTTTGGGGCAATCAATCATGGGGCTCCCAGACTGCAAGAGGGCACAGGCCGGGCTGAGGGGACCCGCCCCTGAGTGCACGAATTTCACGCACCGGTCCTCGTTTTAAATAATGCTTGGTCGCTGAGGAAGACATAAGTTATAGTACGCATCCTTATTCCAGAAGTCTGGACCTTTCCATCCACACCAGCCCTAGATTGGGAAAAGGGAAAGGAAAATGTTTTACAAAGTTACAAGACTATAGGACCAAAATTGTAAAATTTTACCATCCTGCTCCATTACCATCCTGCTCTATTAGGAACCTGGAATAAGATTCTTTAAGTACCTATATAATTCAAAGATCCAAATTTGTATAAAGTATAGAGAAGTAATTTATTTGGGTCCCTTTCAGATAGAATAAAAAAGTTTAATTATACTGTATTTAATCAGAAATCATTAAGAAACACTTCCTATGGTAATTATTGCTCCAAATTTCACATTTTATTGATGCTAAGATGTACAGTTTTGCCATCCTGGCAGGTAGTGGCATGGGACAGTTTAAGTGGCAGCCTGTTTGCCTTAGCAGTCCATACAAGACTGCTATGTACCATGCAGAGGCATCATAGCTATGAGGAAATATGGTCGTGAGAAATCTCAGCTTGCCCTTTGAGTGGCATTCATTTCCTCAGGCTGTAATCATTTCCACTTTGCATTCTTCATGTCAGCATTCATCCTTTTCTCCAGCAGAGAAAATTACTTTCAAACAAAATCTCATTGTGAATATAAAATTTATCAAATTTCTTCTAGGGCCATTGATTTATTTCCTTAAAGAACCAGCTAACAACTCGTCTGTGTTGTATGATCATGAAATGAAATGCTTTGTTTGCTCAATACTTGTGAGGAGGCTAGCTAGGACTCTTAAAATACCACTGAGTGCGGGACCCGCCTGGCCTTGCTCCTTACCCTACCTAACTCGGAGGCTGCAGGTACTGTCAGGGGCCTAAAGTCAAAGTGCAGACCTCCTCCAAAAGAGAGTGTCGTAGCTGATCCCTTAGTGTGGAGACCAGAGAGGTGAGTTAGAGATGATCTTTAGTTTTTCTCTTTCTGATTGCAAAAAATAAGATACACATTATAAAAATTCAAAGGACAGGAAAGTAAAACATTAAAAAAACCCTCCCCCCTAATCAGTCCTACTGCCCCTGCTCCCAGCTGTTAAATTTGGTTTGTGGCCTGGCTGTTGTGGCTCAGTGGTTGAGCATCAACCTATGAACCAGGAGGCTATGGTTCGGTTCCCGGTCAGGGCACATGTCTTGGTTGCAGGCTCAATCCCTAGCAGGGAGCGTGTAGGAGGCAGCCAATCAATGAATCTCTCATCACTGATGTTTCTCCTCCCTTCCTCTCTGAAATCAATAAGAATATATTTTTTTAAAATTTGTTTTGAGACATGTTGCCATACATAAGCTTCTTTTTATTATCTATTATTTTCAGCAAAACTTCCTCTAATAATTTTAATGTCCTAAAATCTGTGTTCTTAATGATAAATAGGAAAGAAGGCTTATACTATCTTTAATCTTTTTGTGATCCTTCACACATGTAGGCCTTCTCCAGGTAACCAGGCTCGATTTTTTTTTTTTAAGGACCAGGGTAGAGAGGGTGTCAAAACCAGAGACTGATGGGAGTGGAGAGGGGAGCCGTGATTTCCTCTGAGGGGATTGGCCGGGAATGTCAAGCAGGAAAGCTCCAAAGAGGGTAAAGTGGCAGAGGCAGATCTTCCCCGTGGCCCTGCTATAGACTGATGGTTTGTGTCTCTTCAAAGTTCATAGGTTGAAACCTCATCCCAATGTGATAGTTGGAGGTGAGGCCTCTGGAAGGTGACTAGATTATGGGGTGGAGCCCTCACAAATGGGATTAGTGCCCTTTTTAAAGGGGCCCCAGAAAGGTCCCTCATCTCTCCTACCATGTGAACAGTGATAAAGACAGCTGCCTATGAACTATAAAGTGGGCCTCACCAGACAGCTTATCTGCTGGCACCTTGATCTTGGACACCCCAGCCCCCATCACTGAGAGAAATAAATGTCAGATGTTTATAAGTCCTCACTCTGTGGTATTCTGTATAGCAGCCGAGCGGACTCGGTGCCTTAGGTTCTTGAGTCAAGTAAGAGTTCATAGTTCTGTACTGATGGCCAGGCCTTGGTTTCATGGTTGCTGACATGCACTAATAGAGCAAACCTATTTTTCTGTTCAAATCCTCTATAGCATGAGATTAAGTTATATGTAAATAGCTTAAAAGTAGTCAAGCCTCCACAGTGTCCAGCGTACTGCTTAGCTATTGTTGGTTAATTCTAAAATTATAAAGGTTTTATACTTGACTCTCCTACTTCAAGGCATTGATAGACCTCAATACATTTGTTTGTGCAAAGCTGAAAAATCTCCAAAGGAATACATTTATGAGCTTTGTGCTCCATTATTAAGTTCAATAACTGAGAACATTTTTATAACCCTAACCCAAATGGTTTCTTCTGCAGTTTACTTATTTCCCTCTTATCCTCCCTATCTAGAGAGACAGTCACTCACCACAGCCCTAGGTGCCTCCTTGTAATGAGGGCCGCTCCCTCGGTTTATTGCCCGCCCTTCTGCTAACAGCCACTTCACTGTCCTTTGGCTCTGGTTTCTTTGTCTTGGATCTAAATTTGTGTTAAATAGATACTTACCTTTTCCAAAATAACCTGCAGATCTTCAGCGCCTGTATAATGTGGATCTAAAATCAGAAATTTTATCTGCCCTGTAATCTCATTCCATGCAACTCCCAGTATCGTGTGGGCCAAAACTCCTCCCCCTAGAGAAGAGGAAATATGAAATATGAGAAGCATACATTAACCTCAACTTCCTTTTCAATTTTAAAAGATTGCTTTGCCTATGAATTTACCTAACAGCATTAAAATTTTCTAGTCTACATTGTAAAAGACCACAATGTCAAATATACTCTGAAAAGATAAAATTACATCTTCAAGATAAAGATTCAATCATATCTATAATCAGAAGGTTTATATTCACACTGCCATATCCATGGAATTACCTAAACTGGATTTAGAAAGGGCCACACAGGGTCTAAACTCCTCCCACCAGAGACACAGTCACTGCTGTGGTCCACTCAGCAGAGGGCGTGCTGAGTCCAAGGAGGCAGCCATCCACTCATTCAGTTCTTTCTGATATTCTGCTGAAATCTGCCTTCCTCCATTTCCTACACACACCTGTTTGAGCTTTCCTCTGCCATCACAGGAGCCAGCTTGTTCCTCATAGAATATGAATCTTTAGATCAACGAATCCAATCCTCTTATTTTACACATAAAGCCCAGAGAGATTAAGCAATCTGCAGTCATGGAACACCGCCGGCCGCGTTAGTGACAGACTCGTGACTTATGATGCTCATGCCTCTTTTTCATGCTGCTTTCAACTCTTTAACTGTAGGCACACCTTTATCATTTATCTTCTTAGCATTTCCATCTGGTTATTATAACCTTTTCTATAACGTTCCTTCTGCCCTGCACATTTAAAAATTTCCAAAGGAATTTGGAGGTCAAAGTGTATGGTGTAAAAGCTAATTTTAAAATGGTTTAAAATGACTGATTTTAGGTGACATTAAACATTTATACTAATGGTAAGTTTTACTTTCTCTCCACGCCACCTAAGAGCCCAGGGTGTCCCAAGCTCGTACCGATCATCACCGGAGTTCCTTCACTCTGGAAGTGATTGGCCAGTGCCCGTCCCTGAGAGGCCATTTCCGAACCCTGGCTGGAAAGAAACCGTTTTCTATTAGATGAATCATTTCTGACACTAAGGTCATATCAATGGGACCATTTTTTCTTTCTTTCTTGTTTAAAAAAACACACAAAACCATACAGCTCAGCCTGTGTGGCTCAGTGGTTGAGCGCCAACCCATGAATCTAGAAGTCACCAGTTCGATTCCCGGTCAGGGCTTGATCCCCGGTAAGGGGCGTGCAGGAGGCAGCCAACTGATAGTTCTCTCTCATGGATGTTCCTACATCTATCCCTTTCCCTTCCTCTCTCTGAAATCAATAAAAGCATTAAAACCCACACAACACAAAACCCACCCATATGATTTTAAATGCAGTTAAGTGGTAAGGAACTGACTGAGCAAGTTAAAGCAATATAACCTTTCTAAATATTTAAGGCCATTAGATACGCCAGGAAAGAAGCAAGACTACCTGGAACTGCACAAAGGAGGTCTGGGTTTTTAACATGAGATTGAAAGTGGTCACCTGGATACCCAGGGGGCTCTTATGGGTGGATTTATTTCAGAAGAACCAGTTTTAAGTCCCGGGTTCTTGTCTTCATGCTGTCAGACTCTGAGTCTGTATTTCCTCGTCTGTAAATTGGGACCATAATACCTGCCCTGTCTACAGGACAGGAGAGTCCAGGACCAAAACAGACAATGTCTGTGAAGCCAGTGTGAAAGGCAAAAAATGTTTTCAAGCACAACATGTTATTTTTATTTTTTGAATTGATTTTAGAGGGGAATGGAGAGATGGAGAGAGAGAGAGAGAGAGAGAGAGAGAGAGAAACATCAATTTGTTGTGCCACTTATTTATACATTCATAGTTGTTTCTTATATGTGCCCTGGCCAGGGATGGAACCCAGAACCCTAGTGTATCGTGACAATGCTTTAACCAACTGAGCTACCAGGCCAGGGCAACAACATAATGTTTTTAGGGAATGTTACAATGTTCTATACAATTTGTACTGTTGAGAAGACAAAGAGAAAGATGGAGACTTCTTTTTAGAATTGAGGTGTCAGGTGGTGGTAAACCTTCGCTCTTGCCTAGTAAGGAACGCATAATGTTTTAATGCGCCAAAACTTCCACTTTTTAACTTTTAATCAGCATATACTTCACTACTTAACCTATCATTTATTTGTTGGCACTGATTTATTTTTAAAAAAACATATTTTATTGATTTTTTACAGAGAGGAAGGGAGAGGGATAGAGAGTTAGAAACATCGATGAGAGAGAAACATCGATCAGCTGCCTCCTGCACACTCCCTACTGGGGATGTGCCTGCAACCAAGGTACATGCCCTTGACCGGAATTGAACCTGGGACCCTTGAGTCCGCAGGCCGATGCTCTATCCACCGAGCCAAACCAGTTAGGGCCGTTGGCACTGATTTCCACAGCCAGTCCAGACTGCAATAGTGAAACCAGATGTATTAAAGTACTTGGCTAAATAAGGATAAAGTTACTCTATTTATAAGGTCGTCATAATAGAAAATGTATTTAAAACATAAGCTCACAAAAGGAGGAAGTTAATTATTGTCCCAGAAATCAATAGTATTGCCCTGGCTGGTCTGGCTCAGTGATAGAGTGCCGGCCTGTGAAGGGTCCCAGGTTTGATTCCAGTAGAGGGCACATGCCCGGGTTGTGGGCTTGATCCCCCAGTAGGGGGCGTGCAAGAGACAGCCAATCAATGATTCCCTTTCATCATTGATGTTTCTACTCTACCTCTCCCTTCCTCTCTGAAATCAATAAAAATATATTTAAAAAAAGAAATCAATAGTATTTAATTTAGATTTGCTCATAGCTTAATGTTGGAATTATGACTAAGCTATACTGGAAAAAGTGAAATATTTTATTCTGACACATAATTAGTTTATTAACATCTTAAGAAGAAAAAGTGCAAGAGGTAAACAAGAAGGTCAGTCGTAGATCAACGTTTGCTTTTTTCCTTTCAAGACTTTTTAAAAACTTGAGCATAAAAAACTTGATTTTCTTTAACTACACTGGAAGTTGACATATATCCAAGTTTTTCTCTTCTTGGCTAAAATTAGGCCTCAACCATATAAGTGTGTATTGTACATCATAAACTCCAAAGTCTTCTTAAGATTAAATAAAAAAAAAAATTAGGGTTAAAAAAGAGATTTACAGAGTAATCAGACAATGTGGAGGAAGAGACAGGAGTGAAAACAAATGTGGGGGAAAGATATAATTTTTCTGTTATTTTAATAAAATGACAATCTCGCTTTGAAATGATGTCTTTACTTTCTTAGCGTGTCCTTACCTGACAAACAGTATTTTTGAAGTTACGCCAATCAGTTGGTTCAGGACCAGCTGTACCTCGATGGACCCAATCCACTGCCGTGATCCCACAAATGTTGCTGGTTTGTCCCCGGCATCAACTAGAGCCTTTTTGTATTGAAAATACAAAAAAATCCATATACAAGACAGCTATTAAGATTACATGTAGGGCCTGATTAGCAGGACACGTTTTTCCTTCAGAACAGAAATCAATCTGTACTCGGAGTTAATAATAATAATGGTAATATATAAGGGCTACTGAAATGTACATGTGTCATCATGGAAAGCGGCGTGTTCTGTACCTGCTGGATTTCTCTGTGTGTCGGGATGGACCTCTCTGTGTATCCCTGGTGTTTGAACCAAGAGCAGATGGTCTGCAGCGATCGATAGGCACAGCCCCAGCCGTTGTCATCCATCCGATCCTGCATGTAGTGGTGATAACCGTACAGGCCCTGGACCACATAAACCTACATAAAAAGAACAGAGCTGAGAGGGAGGGAACGTTATATGGTAATCGACTAGAAAACCATCAAGAGGTACTGTTCGACTCCAAGTTCTGTATTTCCTCTTCTGTGATTCTATGCCTCACAGAGTAAGACTTTTAACTAGAAATAAGTGTCTCAAGATTTCCTGTATAAGCACAATAAATGAAATCACTTAGATCACTGACATGCTGACGAAAGATGCATTTGTATGTGAGTGAGTGTGAGTGCCCAGCCGAGTCTCTATGGGAAGCAGGTGGAACTGCTGTCCCAAGCGCACCCTGCTGGCCAGGCCTAGCAGTGGGCCCCAGACTCCTCGAGGGTAGACACAGGGTCATATATTCATCTTTACTTCTTGAGATTTCCTTACAGAGCACCTGGAGACTCAGCAGGTATGAATAAATGCCACAACAAGATGGCCAATCGAGTTCCTGCCGTGGGAATCTGAAGGCACAGAGTGAATCGGGCAGAAAGAAGCAGGGCCTGAAGCTGAAACATGCATACAGTGAGCAGCAACAAGGAAGTAGGAAAAGCTACACATAAGCAGCAACAATGAGGAAACAAGCTCTGAGGCTGAGAAAAGGCAGAGCGGAGAGAAGGCACAGGCCAGTCGGGATCAACAGCAGACAGAGCAGCAGAGAGGCCACCACAGCGTCCACGTAGGCCCGAGACTGAGGCAGCGGCTCTGTGCTCAGAGGCCAGCTGTGCAAACATTCCTACCCTGATCTCACAAGATCTTTTCCAATTGGCCTACGTGCATCCTTAAAGGGACCCTTCGCCTCGCTCCTTATTTCAGCAACCTTCAGTGACGATCTACCCTTTGCAAGCAGGTACATACTGCACAGAAAAACACTGTAGGGTCTTATTAGACTTCTGCTACAGCGTGGTCTGGGTAGAATATGCCCTTAATTAGCATGCTTTCTCAGGTTCAGAACAAAAGTAAAATTGGACAAGTCTATAATGAAGTCGGGGAATGGAATTTTAGTAAGAGAAATGTGGTCCATGCTAGCTATTCCTAACCCTTTTAGACCACTGTGAATTACTGCTATCTTAAGCACTTGATTACTAAAAGAAATGGATGATAAATTATGTTTTAGGGGTGACATACATTGTGAATCAATCCTTACAAATTCCACTAGGTACAAAAAACGAATGACGCTGGTGATCAGCTGACTCCCATAAGTAATTATGAAACTCACCATACCAGACTCCATGTTGGGTGGACTGAGGTAAGCGTGTGGATTTCTAATGTAACCATCTTGGTATGGTTCATCTGGAAAGTGATAAGCATTAGACCTTTTGAAGTAAGGTCTGTCATGAGGCAGACTGAAGAGATCGTGTAACTCCTAAAGGAAGTCAGAATCAATAGGGAAAAAAGAAAAACAGTTAAATGATTTAGATTTCTAGTCAATAAACTCAAACTAAAGATATAAAACAGAAAATTATATATCAGTTGTGAAAGTTATCAAATACACTCATGATTTAATTCACTAAGGTCAGAGTGTAAGAACAAACTAAAACCAAACAGGATTTATTTTCGCTTATCTGTATACGTAGGCAGAAACTGAAAGGGAACACAGAAAAATGAAAATAATCTGTTAAGTGTGAGAGAACTGAGATCATTTAGAATGAACTATCTGTGATAACACAGTCTGTTAAAATACATCCAGGATAAAGACTGGTTTTGAAACAGCCTTGTAAGTGAGTAAATTATAACTGACAATGATATAATTATTTTAAAAAATCATGCATAGAGTACTTAACAGGTAGAAGGGGTAGTGATTAAATTTCAGAGTAGAAATTGGTGGTATGAAACCAACCAATATGGTACTGAAATAAAAATACACATGTTCAAAATGCAAAAATATTCCCAATAGTGTAACAATAGGTAATAGTTACTTTGAAAAGCTGGACATTTTCTTTTTCATATCTTCTGTGTACTCTAGCAGTTTGAAGGGGATCATTAGCTCATGGGGCTGTTGCCTCTACATAGCACTTCATCTAGGCCAGAGGTGTACAGAGGGTTCCAATATCATACCTCTTCTCAGGGGCATCAGAGGGCATCTCAGGAAGAGACTCTACAGCAGCCGGACAAGGCCACACATATAAAAAAATACATACTCTAAAACCAGTCATTTTGTCAGTAACCTCATTGCTTTGAGTGCTGATCATGTTTTCTTCAAAGGCCTCTACTAAAACCCAAAGCAGCCTGGGCGTGGAGGAGGGGTGGAGTATTACTGTAACTCCTAACTAGGGTTAGCATGAATCCTAACTGCCCGCCCCTAACTGTAATCTCTTGCTCACAAACCTGAATGGAATGAAAGGGAAAGGAATTTATTAATACTCATCAGCTTCTCTAGGGGTGGAAGCAAATTTAAATTCTTCATTTCATTATGGAAAACTAATAATTTCATAGAACATATGAAGCACACTGAGCATATAAAATTCAAATGATACATATGGGTTTTCAGTACATACGGGTTTTAAGTATTTTTTCACTCAAAATACTTAAAAAACAAGTTCCATGAGAACAGAAATGAAATAATACGTAAAACTAATAGTCGGGCTCCACAATTCAAAATTAAATCGTAAAATAATTTCCGTTTATTAGAAATATGTAATTAACTATGAAATGGATGGCAGCCTTATTTTTTCTAAGAGTACATGGCTTGGTCTCACCTCTCTGTAGGCCTGCAGCTGCCCATCTGGAATTCCCGATGGATATGAAATTGTTACAAGATTTTTTCTACCCGGCAATAAAAAGTGCAGTGGTTCAGGGACCACAATGGATGTTCCTTTCATGTATTTCAAAATGCACTTTTCCATATCAGTTAGCTGATTATGAATTGCATCCACTAGAAGTTTACGAACTCTGTGGGGGAAAATATACAGAAGTTATAGTGGCTCCGATAAATGATAAATGAGCGTGGAGTTAATATAACCCTAATGAAGTACAAAAACCCCCCACTTGATTGGGCCAGGTTAATTAAAGGAAGTCTAACTTGCCTTGACCAGTTTGGCTCAGTGGCTAGAGTGTCAGCCTGCGGACTGAAGGGTCCCAGGTTCGATTCCGGTCAAGGGCATGTACCTTGGTTGCGGGCACATCCCCAGTAGGGGGTGTGCAGGAGGCAGCTGATCAATGTTTCTCTCTCGTGGATGTTTCCAACTCTCTATCCCTCTCCCTTCCTCTCTGTAAAAAATCAATAAAATATATTTTTTTTAAAAAAATAAAGGATGTCTAACTTATGAAAGGTTAAATAAACTCTGTTTCTTCTGTGTAGATAAAGAGAAAACCTTATACTAGGTGTTGCAGACCACCCTACTTCCTCCAAATATTTAATTACTAGGTGACTCTTACTAAAAAACAGGGAGTAATCATACTAAAAACTACAACCACCACCCTGGAAATGCCTACACGATACTTAAAAGTGGCCTCTGTTGCTTGGGGCAGGGTCCTCACTGACACGGGCAGTAGTACTCTGGAATACCTACTTTCCCCATGCTGCTTCGGGGGCAGCAGGTAAGACTGCATCAACCGGCAACGTCATGGTCACATAGTGGTGTTCTCCGATTTCTCTTTCAATGACGGGGGTTACGGCGGTCTGAGAGGTTGACATTTCCAGCATGAGATCTATGTTTACTACTTGATGCTATAAAGATAAACAGTAATAGTCAGCTTATAGCACAGTGGACACTAAATATAAAAGGATTAAGCAAAAGGACTTTTTAAGGACCAAAGCTATCGTAAGTTGTATAAATGCTCAAATCTTATCAAAAATTATTCTCTGCTTCAAAATAACCTGAGGGGATGTGGCCAGTGAGTGGGGAGTGAGGATGAAATCAGACTGACTGTGTGCTGGTAGACATGAGAGCTGGTGTAGGTTCACCAGGGTTCATTATATTATTCTCTAGACTTAGTTAAAAAAAAACAAAAAACCAATGAATAAGATACAATAAGCACACACTGAAGGAACTTTTAAACGATAGACCCCTGCTCTAAAGACATGGAGAACTATAAACAAATATTGAATTCTATTACGAGGATTGGTTCTGACTGGTATGGAAGACAAATTCTGAAAATACTTTTTGTATATTGAACAAATGTAGAAAAATACTGAGGCTATTGGAAGCCAGGTTTCTCACAGGGAAAAGGTTAGGAACTGTGTGAGGCTGAAACAGAACTGGAGGTATAGACATGATTTACATAGATAAATATGAGTGTATGTGTGTATATGAATAGTATGGATTTGTACATGTGTACGCTCCTTGGAGGAATGGCTGACTCCTGAGTTGGATCAGGGAGAGTACATGATATGCCTCAACAGCTTGTGGAAGAAGGTAGGAAGTTCAGAAAAATAGTGTCAAAAACCTCTGACGCTCGCTTGAAGAAGTTTCTATTGGCCAAATCTTGGAAACTGCGAGCCTCAAATAACTGACAACAGTAACAGATTATAGCTCATTGCATTGAATAAGAATCCATGCTTCTGTGCAGATAATACATAAATAAGGAAAAGCTCTCCTCACAGTTTTCCTGCCATCTAATAAATATGACATTAATTTAGATATGAAATGACAGGAAAAGCGCCACTTGGCAACTATCAGCTTAATGTTGGATTCTGGCAAAAATGATCAGTTGATGCTAGAAGAGGTAGCATTTGACGAGGAAGAGGATCTATACATAGTCTTGAATTGCCTTCTCACGAGTTACTTCCTAATTATAAGGGAAAAGATAGTGCCCTCACAGAGGAGAAAAGTGGCAGATACCACATTAAGTGATCGAAGCTATCACCAACACGAGGGTAGCACATGCCTCTTCAATCCGATGTGCTGAGAAGAGCACAATATTACCTCTGTGGTAGTCCCACCAACAATGCACAGCCTGCATTTAATCAGGAGGAAGAGTAAAACAGACTACAAAATAGCTGACCAGTTCTCCTCAAAATGTCCAGCTCCAAATATTGGTATTTCTCAAAGAATTATTTACAGCCCGCGATTTTTGTGTACACTTCAGATTGGTAACACCAACAGCTCCTGTGGACACCTCACTGGTATCTGAAACATGGCCCAAACCAACCTCAACTTCCATTTTTACTTAAGCAAGAAATGGTCATCCCATATCCAATTAGTTTCCAAGTGTAATCCATTTTATACCACAAATAGCTCGTGTATTCTTTCCCTCCTCTCTATTACCTTAGCTACTAGTTTAATTTATCTTCTCCTGAAGTGTGCCTGGCCCACGTCTCCCTCATGTCCACCTATTTTCCTCTACTGGCCTGGAAAAACACTACAGTCAAATTAATTTCACACAACTTCCTGCTTTGCAGAAGTAGCTTCATTTTTTTAAATCTCCAATATCGGGCAAAGTTTGTAGCACACGGCAGGCAGGTACTCAATAGTATTGGTTCAAAAATCAACAGAACTAAGAACAGTATGAAGAAAAGTAAATCATTTAGTATCTCACATGGTAATAATGTATTACTGTCATGTTTCAGAATGATGCCTTTTTACTTATTTTTAAATAATTTGTAAATGTACTCAAGCAATTTTATTTTTGTGGGAATAAAGAAAACATTCAAAAAAAGCATAAAGTAAGTATTATAATGGAACCAAAGTTTAGATATGAAAAAAGAGATATAATGTCTGGCATGTCATTTATCTTTCTGGACCTCAGTAATCTGATCTATAACAACTAAGAGAGATGGAGTAAATAATTTCTAAGATCTCAACTCCAAATTCAAGGATTTAAAATTTTTACCACTAGGAAGGCAGGTGATTTCCTTACCACATCTGATAACTTTTTGTCTTTCTTCCTCATGAATTTTCGTGTTGTATCTTCTTCCTGTTCAAATCTAAATTTTTCACACACAAAGATGTTTAGCATATGAAATGACATTTTGGAAACATTTCTAGCAATCTTCAAACATACTCACTGGATGAAGCGCAGTAAGGTCTTACAAGCAGAGCTATCTGTCAGCTCTCCTGGGATGGTGTTCATGTCACTGTTAGGCCACACATACACCGAGCTGTGGCGGATTCTGAACACCAGTGCATTTGAAGACAGCTTGGCGGACAGGTCACTCAACACATGTTTTAGTGCCTTCTGGATAAAAATGTCTAAAAAGAATATAAGTAGAAGTTGATGAGAAAAGTTTTACACTTTTCAACCCGAATGCTTCCAAACACACAAAAATAGAAGCCAAATTGGCTCCCAAATGTCCATTCCCCAGATTCAATAATTATACAAAATTTGTGCCTTTCTTTCGGAAAAACTGAGATAAAATTCAATGGCCATAAGATTCGTTCCTAGAATGAGTACAATTCAGTTGCTTTTAGTGTATTCACAAGGTTTTACAACCATCACTAATTCCACAAGATTTTGATGACCCCAGAAGAAACTCTGTACCTATCAGCAGTCGTTCCTCATTCCCCCTAGACTTACTGTCGGCAATCGCTAATCTATTTCTTGTCTTTATAGGTTTGTCTATTTTGGACACTTCATATAGTGGAATCATGTATTATGTGGCCTTTTTTGTCTGGCTTCTTTCACTCAGCACAACAGTGTTAAGATTCATCTATTAAGCTCATCTTTTTTGAATTTGTACAGAGGAGTCCCATTGGTGGTGGTGTTGGAACACATTGTCTAAGTTTAAATCTAAGTTATATAACTTACTAACTCCATGGTCTTGGACAATTCATCCTACCTCCCACACAGTTTCATGTGGAAACTGGTGAGAATCTCAGTCTAGTTCATCATCAATTTTTATAGTAAAAAAGGAGAGCTTTTTGGCTGACCTACCATTAGCAGTAGCTAGCTGAAAAGCTAGATCAAGGCCTCCTCGGATTCTGAAGAGTATATCCATAGTCTCTGAAACCACCTGAGACAAATGAAGCAAAAGTTCCATTGTGAAACAAAACAAACTCATCCTTATATAAATGCAAATCTGAATTTAGGTTAAGGCGTTAATTAACCTCGTCTTTGCGAATCATTTCGTGAATTCTTCGTTTTATGAAGAAAACAAAACACCCTAAATTCTGAAGCAGGGGTTCTCAACTTTTGTCCCACACTAGAATCACTTGAGGAACTTAAACGGATTAATTGGTCTGGGGAGGGTCTAGGCATAAGAATACTTAAAAGCTCCCCCGCACCAGCGATTCTCATGTGAAAAAGCTGAGGACCACTGCTTTAAGACGTATTTCTACTTCTTTTCTTTTTCTTTTTCCAGTTGTACCACTGAGTTATAACTCAGAGTGTGTCTTTACACACTGGGCTTAAAGACTCACGGCTTTTGTTTTAATGTTGCACTTCTTCAACCCAGTTATCACAGCACATCACAAGCCTTTGGCACAAGGCTAGGATGCAGATAGCTTGGTTAGTATCGAGTGCTGTGAGACCACATTTCTAAATTATAGTCAACCACGGGTTTAACAATGACACGAAAACACCAATGGTAAAGACCGAGTTTAAGAAAGGCACAAAAACATTTGACTTAATATAATAACACTTGGTGGTCAAGATGATGAGAGAAAACTAAGACATCATTAATGGTGGGAGTATGGACTGTAGAACTCTTCATAAGTCAATGTGGCAATAAGAACCAAAAGCCTTCTATTCACATTCTTGGAGTAGTGAGCCTGCATTTAGAAATTTAGTCTAAGGAAATCTGCAAAACAAAGATTCAGGTATAAGGATGTTATTAACCTAAATGTCAACAATGGCAGGCAGGGTTAAATAACTATGAATATTATATAGCCATGAAAAAATCCTACTTTAGAAGAATATTTCAGAGCATAGGAAAATACTTGCAACTTATAAAGGGGAAAAAGCACTTGTAAAGTGGAACCTATTAGCAGTTCTTAATTTGGGTCCATATGCTGAGTTTAGGTAGTTGAAGACTTATGACAAATGACATGTACCATTTTGTTGGGGGGAGAGGAGGAGGAGAACCTCTGGGAAGAGGTTTCAGAGTTCATCAGGGTCTCAGATATTTCCCAAACAGGCTGACGAGCCACACTACATAGTAAGAATCCTATTTTGAGATAAATGAATAAAGTACAAACATTCACGGAGCTCTTAAAAAGGTAAACGACACGGTGCTAAATGATTGGACACATGTTAACTGCGACCCTCAGAATATGAAGTAGGTACCATCACTAACCTTGTCATTTACAAATCTCTTGTCACACTTTTAAAAGAGCCAATTTATTTATTTCATAAATTGTAACCTGTTGAAAAGTCATAACCTTTACCCCCATTCTACTTCTGGGAATGTAGACTAAGAAAATGATCAAGAAAGTTCAATACAAATTTAGCTTCAATGTTGTCCACTTATCATACTCTTGTTCATCACAGCAATGCTCCCCCCCCCAAAAAAAAACCCCCCACCTAAATAGCTATCAATAAGAAGCTTGTTAAATAAGGAACAATACCATCATACAAAATACAATGTACCCATCTGAGCAAAAAAATATTGAATGACAGTGACAGGCACTGAAGGAGATAAAAGTTAAAAAGACAGGCTTGAGCAAATTTAACTCAGTGACTTACTGTATGATTTTGCACAATTTAACTAACGACTCAAGTCTTCTGTACTCTTCTGTAAAATGGGAAAAATCTACAACTTCATAGGATGGCTGTGAAGGTTCCATGAAAGGTCACATGTGAAAGCACTACCAGTGGCTCTCAACCTTCCTAATGCTGCGGCCCTTCAATACAGTTCCTCATGTTGTGGTGACCCCCGATTTCTTTGTTACAAACTGAACATAATTAAAGCATAGTGATTAATCACAAAAACAATATGTAACTATATGTGTGTTTTCCGATGGTCTTAGGCGACCCCTGTGAAAGGGTCGTTCGACCCCCAAAGGGGTCGCGACCCACAGGTTGAGAACCGCTGCAGACTCACCCTACACCTCTGAAGAAATATTATTGAAGCTGAGATCTGAAGGATGGGCAGGCATGAATATGAGCAATTCCAAAGGAAAGATGGGGGTGAGGGGTAGGGGTGTGGAACCGGGTTGGGGAAGGCCTGCGTAGACGACCAGGTCAGAGACCAGGCGGGTGGTTAGAGGATGGTGACAAGGACAAGGACGGCAAGAGTCCAGGGTGAGAATTGACAGCCACGGATGTGGGCTCCACAGAGCCTCATTACGGATCAGAGGTTCGGGAGCTGAGAAAAGGGAGATGCCAAGGATGACGTCCAGGCTTTTGGGTGCAGGGCAGGGTGGACGGTGGCACAAGTAACCGAGGTGGGGTCGCTGGAGGAAGAGCAGGGGTGGGGTGAGGTGGGGTGGAAATCCGTCAGTTTTGAACTCGCTGGGATGGAAATACATGAGCTATCTATCCATGCGGGGCTACAGTCGGTGGACAGAATAAAAGTAACTCAGAACAAAGGTCTAAGCTGGAGACGCAAATCTGGGAGCAAGCACGGGTGTAAAGGAAGTGTCCCAGGAGGACACCACCTCCTGCAGGGCAGGGGCTGCAGGACCTGGAGGAACCACTGCACGCGAGGGAAACCGGAAGTGTCACATCACGGTAACTGAGAGTGTTTGAAGAAAGTTATTCATCTTTCCAAGATCCAATCCTTCTTCAAAACCTTCAAAAGCGCCGAATAATCCGTGGTCCTCAAAATGCATTCGCAAGGAGGAGGCGCAGGAAGCGCGTGTCCACACGCGGCCGCGCTGGGGGATCAAGGCCTGTGCGGGGCGAGGTCCCTCCGGCCCCAGCGGGGAGGCCGAGGGCAGGAACGGGGCGGCCCGAGCCACGGAGTCCGCAGCTACCATCGTGGGCCCCGGCGGGACTAGCTCCTTTCATGGGCTGTGGAGCCGCAGGAGTGGCGGCCACCGAAGTCCCAGGGGGAGACGCCGGGGTTGGTGGCGAGCAGAGGTACTCACCATGTCGGCGACGTGGCGGTGCAGAGGCGCTGACGTCCGCCCAGAGGCTCTGGAGGCTGGTCTGGAAGTGTCGTCATCGAGGGGCGGGGCCTGGGAAGGCGGACTACAACTCCCAGCACGCCCCGCGGCACACGTCAAGGGGTGTACCATTCCACAGCTCCCGGAGGATAGACAATAGGGCGGAAAGCAGAAGTCTTATTGTAATTAATTATATTAAAGTTTATTTATACAATAAAGCTTATTAAAACTTAAGAGAATACTTTATTGGTTGAATCATCTGTATCCCAACCCACTCCTAAGTCTTTCCGTGCGTTGCTCGATGAGGCTTCGAAGTCTCCGCGTGTCCCCCGCAGCGTCCTTGGAATGGATTCTCCTGTCCTCCGGGCAACGCGTCACAATAAACACCAGCGCTTCGCCCAGCGTGCAGCTCAGCGCGGCGAGGTCGCGGGAGGGACGTGTGTGCTCCCAGGTGGCTCGCAGTCCCGGGCTCTCCAGCAGCTGAGACGATCTGGTCTGGGTGGTCGGATTGAGTGCCTTTCTGAGAGGTGACTTGGTCCTCGCAGCCGCCAGGTCTTGGCCTTTGATACCCACCTACTCTGAGCCTCCGTTTCCCTAATGGGATATCTTTCCCCTCATCACGTTAGCCAGAAGCTTTCAGCCCCTCCTGCACTCCCCCCTCCCTCCGCACCCCCCCCCCCCCCCCCCGCCCCGCATCTCCGGCACCTTTCTCCGTCCTTTCGGAGGGAACTTGCCAGGTTCCGCTTGTGCTATACTTATGTTCAGTGTAGCTCTCTGGGCAGCATCTATGCCTTTGAAAATCTCAGCTTTCTGAGCTTCTACCGACGAGCCTTACCCAGAAGAGGGGTTTGCAGTGAATTTGCTAAATAAATGAATAAAGGATTTTGTAAATGTTGCTCAAGAAGAGTTACGTAGTGGAAAGAGTCAAGGCAGGAACTTCTGTTTTCTCTGTTGCACCAAGTGCTGTGCAGACACTGTGAATCCTATATAATAAAACCATACTATGCAAATCAACTGAACAGAGGAATGACCTGTCCTTAGGATGCGCACTGACCACCAGGGGTAAACGCTCAATGCAGGAGCTGCCCCCAGGTGGTCAGTGGCTCCCACAGGGGGAGCACCACTCAGCCAGAAGCTGGGCTCAAAGCTGGCAAGCCCAAAGGTGGTGGCTGGAGCTTCTCCTGCCTCCACTGCAGGCCGGCGGTAAGGAGCGAGGGGGTCCTGGACTGTGAGAGGGATGTCTACCAGCTGGCAGGCAGACATCCTCCCCACCCCCCAGGAGTCCCAGCCTGCAAGAGGGTGCAGGCTGGGCTGAGGGACCACCCCCTCCCGCCCCCCCCCCCCCCAGTGCATGAATCTCGTGCACCAGGCCTCTAGTATTGTGATAAAAACTTGGCTCAGACCTTGGTTCCTGCCTTTGTAGAGCCAACAATTTAGTGCAGGGGTCCTCAAACTACGGCCCATGGGCCACATGCAAATACAAATATTGTATTTGTTCCTGTTTTGTTTTTTTCAAAATAAGATATGTGCAGTGTGCTGCCGGGGTCCTGCCCCAGCAGGTCCAGGGGTTCCCCATAGGTGAGGATGGAGTCGGCGAAGAAGGAATGACACGGAGACAGCGTTCAGTTGATCAGCAGCCTAGCCAGGATCTCCAGCCAAGTTCTGGTCTGGATTTCCAGAGAGGTTCTGCTTTGGATCTCCAGCCAGGTTCTGTGTCCATGTTCTCTTGCTAGGTTCTCCAGGTTCTCCAGCCAGGTTCTGTAGCCATGTTCCCTCGCTAGGTTCTTCAGCCAGGTTCTGTCCAGGTTCTCCAGCCAGGTTCAGTCACCAGGTTCTAGTCAGGTTCTTTTGCCAATTTCTGTAGTCAGGTTCAGTCCAGGATCTTTTGCCATGTTCTTTCCAGCGAAGTTCTTCTGTCTGTAGGTTCTGTGTAGGTTCTGTCTTCTAAGTTCTGTGTTCTAAGTTCTGTGTTCTAAGTTCTGTGTTCTAAGTTCTGTGTCTTGCTGTCTTGTTACATCTGTATTTATACCAGTTGATTCAATCCTATCAATCTCTATTACAAAGGTTAGGGCGTTTCTTATCTCCATTCCAGGGAGTAAAGATTATGTAGCTTAAGCATGATTGTTCATAGTTAAAGTGATTAATTACCCGCCTGGCACTTAGTTAAGAGGTTTTATTCCCTCCCTAACTTCAGGGGAAAATCCCTACCTGGGGAAACACCCTTTCTCAGAGACCTTGGTTAAAACACATAGTGCCAAGAAGGTGAGCAAACATATTAAGAACAGTATGCCATATATGCCAGGTCCCTTGAAACAGCAAGCATGGACCGGCTCCCGGCAGTGTGCATAGGAATTTGTTCATAGTTTTTTTTTTTATATTTTTATTGATTTTTTACAGAGAGGAAGGAAGAGAGATAGTTACATTTTAAACTATAATCCGGCCCTCCAATGGTCTGAGGGACAGTGAACTGGCCCCCTGTTTAAAAAGTTTGAGGACCCCTGGTTTAGTGTGTGTGTTAAGACAATTGTTAAAGGATCCCTACACGGGGATGTACAATGATAACCCACCAGGTAACATGATGAGGGCCTGGAAGGAGAAGCACCTGTGGCTACGATAGAGGGAATTACAGTGATGAATGCACTGAGTAGTACGAAGGTTCAGTGTTAACTGGGGGAACGAAAGGGTTTGGCTCAGTGAAGGACTGGTAACCTGCCTAAAGCGAAACAGCATGTGCCATGGTCCTGTGGCTGGGGAGGGCCCCATTGGAGACAACTGGAGATCAGGTGCCAGGATGTCTGCCTGCCGGCTGGTAGACATCCCTCTCACAGTCCAGGACCCCCTCGCTCCTTACCACCTGCCTGCAGTGGAGGCAGGAGAAGCTCCAGCCACCACAACTGGAGGGGTGTCCCCTGGTGGCAGATGAGGGTGGTAGGGCTTTGTGAGCTCCTGTAAAACCACAGGAAGCTTTTGTGGGGAGGCAGTGGGAATGGAGCTTTGAAATACCACGCACATGAAGTAGCACTCCCCAAATGACTGCCGTCTAGTTTTAAAGGGTACCTGATCAGAGGGAGAGGTAGGATGGAGGGAAGGGTTGTATGTTCTTAGCTTTAGTATAACCAGAATCTTCTCTTGTCTCGTTGATATTACACACTAGCAATGATTCATGCTCAGGTGAAACAACTTCTACATTCAAGGCATAAGCCAGTGTTTGAATTATTTACTGATGTATGCCCAGTGTCTAAATCAAATTGGCGTTTTAAAAATATTATGAGAAAATGGAGGCAAGTATTCTTAGCTCTTTGGTCCTCCTTTTTAGGACACGTCTAATTATGAAAATCGTACCTAAGTAAGTAGTTGCATAGTTAATGTGATATTGCAAAAGGAAATCGCAGTTGGCATTCTACCCTTTCACAAATACTTTGAAGTCATTGTGGATTTTTGTTTTGTTGTTCTTTATTTTTATCTTGGTTAGAAAATTGTTCTCTCCCCCCCATGAAATTTGAAAAAAACTCAGGAACTAGAGGGTAATACCTGTATGTGTTGTGCATTCTGAAAAGCTAAGTTCTAATTTTCAGTATGAGGGACAGTGCAGTATGTTTAAGTCATTTGATCTAAACTGAAAACACCTGCCCTAGTTAATGATGCCTTTTAAACCTAACTTGCACTCAAAGGAGGGCTGTTGTTTGCACAGTATTTATACCTCACTGCAAATTATTACAGCAATAATTTTACCATTTGCAGAAGAGGAATGGCAATGCCACAATGTAATCATACACACTTTGTAATCTGTGGGTGTTTCACCTGGAGAGCCAAAGCGAGGGCTCACGGTGATCATTTTGAATACCATCAGCCTTAGCCCCACAAAATAGGTTCTTTCCCCACGTAGTTTGGGGCTACTATTTTAAAGAGAACATTCACTTTCAGACTGAAGGTTAATTGAGACTGAAATTTAGTAATCACTGTTTTCCTAAACATTCCCTCCTGTATTTTTCATCGTAGGGTAGGCTTGAGCTATAATAGAAGTAGCCCAAAGGAACCTTTTGAAGTTACTGATATAGGGAACGCCTCCAGGAGACGAAACAATGCCTGGAGAAGGAACAAAATCTGATATGGAGAGGATTGGCCTCTTCAGTGAGATGGAATATATCACTGTTGGTGATAAATATGTGTCACATCATGATCGTAAGTACATTCGCTCTCTTTACAGCCTAATCGTGGACGTTTTCTGTATGGAAATTTGGTTAAATGATATTTAAATTTATTTGTTTATCTAGAGAAACACAAACACATCCATTTGTTATTCCACCTATTTATGCATTTATTGGTTGATTCTTGTATGTGCCCTGACCTGTCATCGAACCTGCAACCTTGGTGTATTGGGATGATGCCCTAACCAACTTAGCCACCTGGGTAGGGCCCAAATGATATTTTTAATGGTCCATATTTTAAAGTATTAGTTCTAGAGTTGAATAAACTTGAGAAATTTCAATAGAGTTAAGAGAATTTCATTTTTTTGCACTATCCTTTCTTTAAGTATTCTTCTCATAAGTAATTTTATTTCTTTCCAAGGGTTCATGGCAGTTTTCTCCCAGAATATTTTGTTTTTAGCTTTTTTTCCCTTAAATGGGACACTCTACTATGCAAATAGTGTTCACATTTGTACCTGAAAAGGCCATCTACCATTCCTCTTGAAAAATAAAATGCTAAATGAATAGCCAAGTGATTGTTCAAAGAGTTATAAATGAGAGCTAAAGTAAATAATCATTTAAAATGCCTTAAATTTTTGGCTATTGAATGACCTCTATGTGGCAATAAAAAAAGAACACAATGATATGAAACACCACCAAGGTATGTTATTAAATGAAATAGAAATGAAGGTGCAGAATAGTGTATATGCTATGCTGAACACTAAAAATAGAGAGGAAAATATATGAAAATACATATTGGAACATGCCTAAACATTCTTTGGGAAACAAATTTAATATCATGATTGCCTGTGGGAGAGGAAATGAGTGGCCAAGTGTGGGGGGAAGATTTACTGTATAAATATTTATACTGT